TTAAGATTTAGACTTAAGTTTGAGATTGAACTATGAAACGTTTGTCTCCTTTGTTTGTAACCCCGGGCCAAGTAGAATAAAATCTCGGCATTCCTTCAGAATGCCGAGTACAGTTTGAATGTAATGGAGGGTGGTTGGGATTAGGGCACGGGCGGGTCTCGTGCGTAGTCACCTCCACGTGGTGAGACCTGGTAATTGATAGCTTTTTACAAACATTAAAGTTTTACAACCTTTAATGTTTGTAAAACGACATCAAGCAAAGAACTACGCAACCTGCAGTTCAGTTTAGGTCGTGAAAATTTCCTTCCTTTCTTTATTTCACGGTCTAAACTGAACAGTAGGGACAATTAGTTGATAAGTAAATTATTGGGCCCCCAGCGGGCCACCGATGGACGACGAGGGATATCGCAGGGACATCGTAGGACGACGAGGGATATCGCAGTGACATCGTGGGATGCGAGCGTCTTAGCTATAAGTTAGCGTGCGTTTAGTTTTAGTTAATTATAAGATAGTTAGTATTTGTAAATTCACTGTGAGCACATTCTGTACAAAGACACGACGTTTATTTAACTTGAAACGAAATCAGAGACCTCTTCTCTCCGCTTTTCTCTCATTCGTTGTTACTTTTGTTACTGGCATTGCACTAAAGTAGATTTTCCAACTTTCGTTGTCAGTGTGTCAAGTCAAGGAACTGCAGCTTCGTCCGAAAAGACGAAGTTCGGTTGTTGTAGTCTAGCGTCCTTTGTAATTCGGCTCAAGTGGTTCCGAAAAATCCCATCACGAGAAATCCGATATAAAATAACTCGGTTACGAGGGGGCTGTACTTCTCGCGGTCTACATACGTTTAAGACAGTAAAAACGTTTCATTATTCCGAAGTGTACTTTCCATGGTTGTCGATGTATGAATACCGTTCTGACATCTAGGCTATCCTCTTTCGCGGTCATCCTTTCTTTCTTATTTTTCCCGCGACTTTCGTTCCGCCGAGATATTAACGTACTGATAAGCAATACGAGCATTGACTAACTAGGTTAGATCCTATATCCAATGCTTTATCGTGTCCTATGCTTTGGAGATCACCTGACTAAAATTTCCGTGTCACATTCTACCATGTCGATTTAGGCAAGTTTTACATCGCAACGTTACTAATAGTATGTAAAGTTATTACACCTTCACCGAAAATTATTTATTGAATTAAACGTGAACGCTTTGTTACTTGCATAACTATTCTTAAGAGACGAGCAACTTAATTTTTAACTGTAATATAATTATTTTCTACATAAATTAGTATTATATGTCATAGACTTATAAATTAGAATTTAGTACACGTCAACAGAATTTTATGTTAAAAACTAACCGTGCAAACGTAGTTTGATTTTGTGTAAAATATAGAAATTACATAGAGGTGTGCGAGAACCCGAAATATCGGATCGGGTCGGGAACACGAAATTTCTTTGATCGGGACGGGTACCCGAAAATTTCGAGATTCTCGAATTTATCGGAATTCTCGAAAGAATGAAGATTCCCGAAAGAGTTGGGATTCGAGAAAGGATTGGTAACAAGAATAAATGATTCGTTAAAGCCCACGCCTTCAACTATATCGAAAGGTCGCAGATCTAGAACCATCATTCGAGCAATTCCTTCTGTTATATCTTTTGGTTTAACAATCTTTCGCGTATCATTTTGTACATGCGACAAATTTTATATCGATTCAGTTTCTTTCCTAGTACATGTACGTATGTTTGGATGCATATGCTTCAAATGGCGTAATAAACCAGTAGTACTTGCATACCTAGTTTTAAATTCATGGTGACAATGCGTGCATTCCGCCTTTGTATCATCTTTTTCTTGAAAATATTCTCAAACAGAGCTTCCCTTTACCTTCTTCCTTTGCACGATATCTTCTGCACTACTTCCTGCAACCACAACTTTACTCTCACTATCACTCGACGTTGGTTTTAAAGATTTCTAATCTTTATTATTTAATCTCTATTCACAGAGGTTTTGAAATATACGTCCGAGCTTCCCGAGTTTCTCAGCGATACTGCTCAACAGCGTACATAATGTTCAAGTACTAAGCACGCAGTCACACGTTCGTTTACATTAGGTCACACGATTCTTAGAATCCGTGTTTGCAATAACTTCTCTGGCAGAAGAAATTGAACTGTGTATTTATATACAGTCGGTCACGAAAATATTCGGACACCAGTATAGATTTGATCATTATGTCATGTACTTCAATCAAATGTACAAAGGATTAAGAAAATGTACTATGCTATGATAGATACTATGTATGATAGTGTAGTTTTTAGATAACAAAAATGAAACAACACTTTATTTACTACGTATCATTGTTTAAATAATGGAAGAAAATTATAGAATAAATATGCAATTTATTTATTAATAAATACTGATAATTCAAGTAATAATGAAATAGACGAAATATTCCTACATTACCTTATCGCTCACAAATATATCTCTCCAGAGATGTGAACTAGTTTACAATTAGTAACCAACTATAGAAGCAGATAAATGAAAATAACGAACGAAGTGCCGTGGAAAAAGTTTCTGGACGGACGCGATCAATTATTCAACGAAGTAGACAAGAAGTACAACGAAGCGCGGTAAGTATTCAAGTTGTAGACAGCATGTTAGCGGACGAGGACGATTAAAGAAATATGCCTCTCCTCTTCAAACTTGGAAGTCCGGTTACGTGCATAGAAGTTATAACATTTTCACACGAGGAAGTTTCTCAGCTCACCAAGACGAGCAATGAGTCTTTCTTTCACGTAAAGAATAAGAAGTTCTTTGTATCCTTGGCAGTCATATTTGATCGCGCAGTTTGCGTACGTGTCTCTCTAATGGATTTCGACACAGGTATCACTCTGTCATCTGTGTTTTTTTGAGTTTCGTGAATTTTACCGAATCTTTGTTCCTATTTAATTTAAAAGTGTTCCAAGATTTCACTTTCTTTTCATCACAAGTGTCACTGCTTCGTCCTTGTTTCGACGTATCGTTCGACAAAAATAAATGAATTGCTCTCTTAATGGATAATTATTCCAACTACGCGATATCCAGTATATCCCTTTCTAAGAGTAATATAAGTGTAACTTGTGAAAGAAGATTCTATATTATCTCTATCTATAAAGTAGCAAATGTTGAATGAATCTTTATCTCAGCCTTTACGCCTAGAAATAGACCTCAGTGCCTTACATTATTCTTTACATTTTGTTTTCCGTTTTAATTCCCTTGGTTGTCAAGTTTTCCCTTATTACTTTTCCCTTACATCTAGTATTGCATGCTTTATACTATACATAGACTATACTAATTAGACTAATATAGAATGATAGTTGCACACTGCCTCTACACTTAATATATTTCTCTTTACTGTACTTTCTTATAAATTAGCAAATGTAATGTTAATATAATTGAAACGTGAGATTTTTCAAAGAAAACTATTTCGCAAATTTTCAGAATTGAAAGTAGCCATAGGATGGAATCGTGGGAACATGGAGTTAGTTGGTATCTGGCCGGAACCGAGTAGGACCCATGAACGATTGCCCAATTTTAAAGCACTACTTTATTTGTCCATTATAATCGTGTTCGGAGTTGGACCGCAGAGTGCGAATCTATTTTTCATATGGGAAGATCTTGAGTTGGTGACGGAAAATCTGTCGACGGCTAATATACCTGGCATAAACGCGATGATAAAGTTGATCTTTGCTTTGTATTACAAGGAATGTACGTGTAAAATTTTCTACCAACTTGCAAAACTTTCAACTATAGCTACGGTTGTTTAATTTCATTTAAATTTCTTCTTTTTACTATTTCTTGAAGCAATTGCTGGTTTTATCCATAGTTTAAGTAAATGAAACAACTAACATAAATGAACGAACGTAGCGCTGTTGCGATAATGATTAATATTCCACGCGATGTCGAATAGATAACAATTAATATTAAGTATGAATATGAACAGTGATAATGAATAATAATATTAATAATTATAATAGGCAGTATGTAATATTAATCTAACGGAATATTAATACTTACATACTAATGTTAAGAAGATAAAAATTAATATTAATGCTCTACTTAACATTACTAATGTTACGCAAACTCTGATAATAGTGTTATAATGATATGAATATACTTAATATTAATGGAATATTAATTTTTATTATTAATATTGTTACTAATATTCTACCTAACAAATATTCTAATTAATATTCTATACTAAATTTAAAATATATTAATACTTCTATCCTACTAAAATTCATTATATCCCAAGCTTTCAAGCCAATTGTGAAGTCTTTCTACGACGATTGGCATAATGTGAAAACAGAAGAAGAGAAAGCAGCGATGCTGAAAATGGCTAAACCTTCTAAATTCATTTCTATGTGGTGTTCCATATTAACTATCACGATGGTCACTGCGTATCTAAGTCTTCGAGCGGTTACTGTCTACCTGGCTGACAGAGTGAACGAAAAACAGGATCGTTTGAGCTTGTATCCAGGATATTTTCCATTTGACATTCGATCAGCACCAATATTGATAACGATCAATTTTGCTCAAGTGATCGCAGGATATTCAGCCACTATTTGTTACACCACCGTGGACACCTTTATCGCGATGTTGATCATGCATATGTGTGGACAGTTCGCGATTTTAAGAAAGAAATTACTGAGATTAATGGGCAATAAGAAAGAGAGTAAGGGCATAGATGAGTTTCAAAAGGAACTGGCTTTGATTGTCATCAAGCACGAGCAACTGAACGGGTGAATAATCTTTAATCCAAACGTATAATAGCAACTTCTCAAGGAGCTTTTAGTGATATTCAAGGGATCTCTTAAATAAATTTTTAATATTTAATAGTTTTAATATTTAATATTTTTTTAATATTTCATATTATTTAATATTTTTTTAATATTTAATATTAAAAAAATTTTTAATTTTTAATATTTTATAATCATATTTCTTAAGATGCTAAATTTGTACTATTTGATACCTTAATAATAATTTCTTCATAATTTGAATATTTTAGCACCATAATGTACTGAAATATTGATGCTGTCACATTGCAATAATTTAATATTCCAAAGATTCTCTCACTTTTCACATTTTTTATATTTCTTTATTTTATAATCTTATGTCGCAATATTATAATCCAACACTCCATTATCATAATCCACAATCTTCATTAATCCAGCGTTTTAATGCTTTGACAGTGTAATATTCTACCATCTCAATTCTATTATTAAAAATATTATTTTAATAAATATTTCGATGTTCTTAATGTTTTATATATGAATATTCCAATCGTTAAATCTTCAGCAGCAACCCCATAACTTTTCTCTTCGCTTATTAAAGGCTAGCTACAAAGATCGAAGAGTGCTTCAGTATGCTGTTGTTACTTCAAATATTGCTCTGCACCGTCGAAATCTGTTTCCAAAGTTTTCTATTTCTCAATGTAAGTTGCGTTTACTGTACTACCAATGTTCCACGATCCTAACTAAATATGAATTAACCAGGTGTTACTTAAAAACGAAAACGGGATCTACAACTTTCAATTGGTCTTCTTCGTCCTCTTCGTCTGCTTCATCCTCGTTCACATATATCTCTACTGTTACATAGGCGAGATGCTTCTCATTCAAGTAAGTGACTCTTCTCGTTGACGCAATCGATTCGTAACTAAATTATAACACATCCCGTTTCGTTCTGCGCGTAAATTAGAAATTATAGTTTAGCGTTTGAACGTGCACGTGTAAAAATGAAATGCGTGTTCAACGTATGTCCGAAAGACAAGGACAGTACGATTAGAAATCTACACTTCCGAGTACTGAGTTTCGTAGAAGAGACAGAAGAACTATCTTGGATGTTTCAGGGTAAAGAAATGAGTGACTGCGCGTACGAGTCGAATTGGTACAACGTCTCACCCCCTGAAGCCAGGTGTCTTCTGTTCATCATGAACAGATCCACTCGTCCACTCTGTTTGACTGCAGGCAAATTTGGCACTTTCTCTATGCAAATGTTCAGCAGCGTACGTACCTCGCGATCGTTACCTTAAAAACTACACGATCCATAGAAATCTTGTTCAAATCTTGTTTCAGATTCTAAAAACAGCGATGGGTTATCTTTCGGTGTTGCTAACAGTCGCTGGTAGCGATTGAACCTCTCGATTCTCTCGGTATAGAAGTTTTCCTTTAGACTAGGTATCCTGAGCTGTACAACTCTTCGTCCATGAATATTTCAGCGAGGTGTTGCGACAGTTAAAGCACAACACGATGTCTTTTATATACATTCACGGATTATTGCTGAGCGCATTAAACGTTTCTCACAAACTTCTGTCTCGTCATCTTCGATTCTTGCTCGAACTGAATGTTTCCTCTGAGACGAATAAAAAAAAGATTCGAAATAGACGAAAGTTTCCGTGCTTCAATTGCAACTGGACACGAGGCGAAGTTTCTGTTGTTACTTCGAGGATAAAATAATTATTATCGAAAATAAGTTTCACGGAGAAGGTAGACCGTCAAAAACGTAGTTTTTTGTATTTAGATTCGTCGGTCTTCGTTCTTATCGCCGGCGAATCGAAGGAGTTTGAATTGCAGGGTCTCTTTCGTTTCGCGAACATGCAAATTGCGGCCATTAAAAGTTCCGAGCGAAAGTCCCAGCGAGACGATTCAGAATGCGTAATGAACGGTACGAAAGGGCTGCGCGCAATCTGGAGAATCAGTTGTCGAAACATCCACGCTGAAGAAAGAAGGATAAAGAGTAGAATAAACGTTGGGACGGTCGGAATTTTACTTTTTTCACGTGGTGAACAAATTTTTTACTTTCACGAATTGTTCGTTTGCAATTTTTGAAACATTGATTTTCAGACTCGTAACGCGTTGAGAGCTTTATGATCTGAGTGATTCGACATTTACAGTCGTGAAAAATAGAGATTTGTTGATAATTGGTTAATTGAATAATATCGAATTTCATAATTTTATAATTTTTCTTCTCTCTATAGTATTGAATTCTATAAATCTCTATAATTCTAAATTCCTGAATTTAGAATTTTATAATTTCGAGTCTCTTTCTCTTCATAATTCTAAATTTTACAATTCCTCTTTCTCAAAATTTAAATTTTAAACCTAAAATTTTCTTTTTTCTCACTTTCTCACTCAATCTCTTTTTCTATTTCTAGTTATACAATTTTAAATAAAATCTTCAGTATTCCTAGTAATATTATTTCGTCAATGCATTCAGATTTTTATTCGATAATTGTAATTATTATAATTCTCGATGTTGCGTGAAGTGTTGTGCGAAACGAGAAATGGAATTTGCCATGGGATGGAACCGTTTTAATTTGACGTTACTTGGTGTGTGGCCAGAACCGAGGAAAATATCCAGAGGATCACGACTAATTTCGAGTGTAATATTCTGGTTTACGACTTCCGTAACATTCACTTTTATTTGTGCCCCTCAAACGGCCAATCTGGTATTAAAATCAACCAGTCTAGATGACGTAATTGAGAATTTATCCATCAATATACCGATCGTCTTTGCGCTAATTAAGCAGATAGTTCTATGGTACTATAAAAAAGGTAATTTAATACTTTCCAATATTTACGTATTATAACCAACTAATACATAATACTAATACATAATAATTAAATTGAGTAATACATAATTACTCGATTTAATTATTATTAAATTAATTACTTAATTTTCAACGTCTACAATACTTAAGGGTTAATTAATTATACCTAATCACTAACAATTTTCTCGACAAATGAAGATCGATATCCCCCAATCCAAGTCATTCTTAACTATTAATATTCTCCAAGAGTAACGATATCTATATAATTTTCATCTCTCTAGCCCTAACACTGTTAATTAGCCAAATACTGGACGACTGGGCCGAGCCAATTGCAAATCACGATCGGCAAACGATGATGAAAAACGCAAAGATCAGCCGAATGATATCCATTGTTTGTTCCACTCTTACCTATTTCATGCTACTCGCTTTTATGTCGCTACAAATTTGGAGCAACATGCAAAACGCGTCAGAAGCCGATCTAGGAGGGCTTCTTCATCCAGCCACGTTCCCTTACGACACGAACAAGAGTCCAAATTTCGAGATCACGTGGCTGGGACAATTTATGGGCACAGTGCTAACCGCAATATGCTACTCTTGCTTCGACACGTTCCTTGCGGTTCTCGTGTTACACTTGTGCGGTCAATTAACTGTTCTTCGGGTGGCTCTCGAGGATCTAGCTAACTCGACGAAGTGCAATAATTACACAAGATTCCACGAGCGACTGGGAATCATTGTGAACAGGCACAATCAGTTGTTCAGGTTGGTGGAAGTCAGTCATTAATGGACTAAAGGATATTTAAACGTTAGACGTTAGACGTGGATATTATTTTGGTTCTTTCCAATTGAGTTTGAAAAACTTGAAAATTTAAAGAACCTGAGATTTAATTATTAAACTATTAATATTATATTATATAATATTATATAATAATTATATATTAAATATAATATATATATATTAAATATTAAATTATTATATAATATATATTATATATTAAATATAATATAAATATATATTAAATATATTGTATAATATATAATAATTATATATTATACAATAATATAATTATATTATATATAACTACTAATATTATATTATTATAATTATTAATTTTCTATCAGAACGATTCAAGAGTAAAACAAAAAAAAAAGTAAGATAGAATTAACTTTCAGAAATAATAATTTAAAAAGTGGAGGCTAACAGAAAATTGTTCTAGTTACTCTTTAGTATCTGAATTATTATATTTAATCTCTTTGAACATGTTTAAAGAGAGACATAATTTAACTCAATTTAATTTTTGCTTCATTCTATTTTATTTGAATATTATTTCATTTTAATATTGTCTCATTCTAATCAGATATTAGAAAACCAACTGCAGATATGTTAATAGAAATTTCAGTTGTATGAAATAATTAATTCCTTTCCTTTCGAACAAAGGGAGAACTTTTCTGTCACTCTGATATAAGTTATTATTCTTGAAAGCGAAGAAAGTGTCAGTTAATTTAGCAAATAACTGATAAAACATTTGTATCAAGATTCGCTGTGATCGTGGAAGATTGCTTCAACCTCACTTTACTTGTTCAGACTATAATCTGTACGGCGATGTTCTGCCTCACTGGATATCGCATGATAACCGTATGTTAAAATTAAACAAACTATTAAATAACGAGAGAAGAAACCAACGTGTAACATAAATTCTTTTTTGTTTTTAGTCCGTAGATCAGGAGCAAGCAGACGTACCAATTGTTGGAATGATATTCTTTATCATACACGTAATCTACACTATGCTGCATCTTTTCATTTATTGCTACGTGGGAGAAATGCTTCTTGGACAAGTGAGTTTATTATATTACATACGTATATGCTAAATCTGTTATTATGGATAATAATTGAGCATTGCATACAATTCAATCCATCTTGAGATATGTCTGGATTACTTTCAGGTCATGATCTTCAAAAAACATGATGTATATTAAAATTATCTATTATCTCTACTTTTATATTTTAATATTTCAATGATTATTAGTATCTTAATATTGTACTACTTTAGTATTCCAATATGTCAACAATTTAATTGTATTAATATAATTAATATATCGTATAATATAAATTAATATATTTAATACATATAAATTAATTTAATATATGATATATTAATTTATTTTCAGAGCACTGGCATCAGTGAATCAGCATACGATTGCAATTGGTACGACCTACCATCGAAAAACGCAGTTTCATTAATTATAGTGATATGTCGTGCAAGAGTATCGTTTCAAATAACAGCTGGGAAATTCAGCCCCTTTTCCCTCGAACTTTTCAACGCTGTAAGTGAAACACGATCGTGGACTTGAATTATATTTTAACAGAAATTCGAACTGTTCATAATAATATTTTGTTAGATCTTAAAAACGTCTGCTGGATATCTTTCCGTGCTGTTAGCTATGAAAGATAGATTGGTCGATGAATAGTAATGTAATTATATGGTTGTAATATGTCTGTTCCTGTTCATGGTAATAAAAGATACGACACGTTGAACATTTTATAAAATCACACTGGTCATCGAATAAATATTTTGATATCTGTTCGGAGATACATATTACGATTATTTAATAAAACCTCATAAAATAAAGATGTATAACAATATTCCAAAACGCTAGATCCATTGGAGCATGCAAAGGATTGTACAAGTGTACAAAAGACTTTTTAAGACAATTAAAACATTGAAATATCTGTAGGACTCACGTTTCGTAGAAATACCACTTCTGCCAAAGACTCTTTTTTTGCTTACACTGCTAATATTAAAACAATCTAAATCACTGAAAAGAGAAAACATGAATTGAACAATTGTACATTTGTTTTACAATTATTAAAAAAATGGTAAGATGAGCATATATGAAATGCTACATGTTATGTAAAAGTAAGTATCTCTATGTGCAATGCACAGTGAAAGACATCTTCCAATATTTGCTTCTATGTATGTTCCAGGAGTCTCTCATAGCCACGATGAGGTCCATTCAGTCTTTCAAGGCCATTTTTAATCCTCATGCTGATGTCCCATTTGCTGCTTTTATTCTTCGGATGGTGATTTTTTTTTTTTATAATTTTTCTTCTATTCACTTTTTCAATATCCATGTTTTTTCCAGTTCAATGTCCTTCTCCTTTTGGGCTCCCCACTAAGTTTCCAGTATTCTTGGTGGTTTGTCCAGTTTCCTGGACAATTTCAGCTTCATTCACTTTTACCATGTTTTTCCTCTGTAAGACGTCGGCAAATGGAATACTCCTTTTTATCAGAGTACTTCTCGAGAGTTCACTTGACGTTCTTCGTGAAGGCCAAATGGTCGCAAGCACTTCAATTACATAGCTCTTTGCAGCGTAAACTTCTTGAGATTTTTAAAATGCTTGGTTTTCTGTTTAGTCGCCTACGATAGAAAGAGAATATATCAGAGGTATTCTAATTCCAATTATCAACGGTATTAAATAGAGATCGATAAGAAAGAATTAAACAAATATTTAAATATAATATAATAAATAAATTATCGCCATTTATTCTTTAGTTTCATAATTGACTCTATACCATCGTAACGAAAAAATTAATAATTGTACCGTGCAGAGTGTCACACATCATAGTGTAAAGAATCTTCTTTTTCTCGGTCAGTTAAAGGTTGATTAAATTTTTCAACAACTTTTAAGTTAAGATCAAAATCGAAGTCAATTCAGAATCTTCTAAACTACCTTTATCAATATCCTGCGAAGCAGTACATCTACCCACAAACGTGAACTAGTTTACAATTAGTAACCAACTACAGTAGCAGATAAATGAAAATGACGAACGAAGTGGCATGGAAAAACTTTCTGGACGGATGCGATCAATTATTCAGCAGAAGACAGGGGATACGCGGTAAGTTGACAGTTTCTTGTTAAAGACGATTAAAAAATTATAGTCACCCTCGCAGATGCTACACTTCGAAGTCTAGATACTTAGTTAGAAGTTCTACATTTACAGACGGGAGACCAAGAGGAGCATGCGCTTTTCTTTCATATAAAGAACAAGACAGTTCGCTACAGTCATTTGATCAGTTCGCGTGCGTGTGCCCCCAATGGACAACGATACAGGTACCATTCAGTCATCTATGTCTCATGATCTTCGTGAATTTTACCGAGACTGTGCTCTTGTTTAATTAAGTACCATTTTGTGTCCTATGCTTCTACATTTTCGTGAATTTCATTCTGTTCTCGTTTAATTTAAACATATTTCAAAACTTCACCTTCTTTTTATCACAAATGTCTCTGTTGACTTGTATCAATTCGACGAATCGTTCGACAGAAATAAATAAAATTCTCTATTAGATAAATATTGGAATTACATGATACTCTTTTCTATGAATGTTTATAACTTGTGGAAGAAGATTCGATATCGCCGCGTTATCTCGTAAAGTGGCAAATATTATGTTAATATTAATATAATTAATACGTAACATTTTTCAAAGAAATATTTTACAAAATTTCAGGACTGAAACTAGCTTTAGGATGGAATCGTCGGAACATGGAATTAATCGGCGTTTGGCCGGAACCGACCAGAACCGACGAACGATTGCAAAACTTTAAAGTTCTATTCTTGTTGTCCACAATTTTTCTATTTGCAATTCTACCAGAGAATGTGAATCTATACTTCATATCAGGAAATCTTGATCTGGTGATGGAAAATCTAACGATGGCCAATTTACCTGGTGCAAACGCGATGGTAAAGTTTATCTACGCTTGGTATTACAAGAAATGTACGTACAAAATTTGCCACTAACTGTCCACAATAATTACAATTATTTAATTCCATTTAAATTCATGTCACGTGTCACAGTTGTACAAAATATTTCTTCACTACTTTTTATAAAGAAATTTCTATACTAATTTTATCAATGAATTAGTAAATGAAATAACTAATATACATAAATGAACACATCTTTGGAGCGATAAAAAACAATATTCTTAGTTAATGATAAGTGGATAAAAATCACTATTTTATCAATATATATTATTTATCATATTATTATCGTCAATTAATATTATCATTATTAATATTCTCATTGTAATATTACAAGATTATTTGTATTACACAAATTATTTATAATATTAAATACTATTATAATATTAAATTTTATTATATTTTCCAGCTTTGAAGCCCGTAGTCAAATATTTCTACGATGACTGGTATAGAGTAAAAACGGAAGAGGAAAAAGCACTGATGTTGAAGATGGCTAAACCTGCTAAATTTATTTCTGTGTGGTGTTCGATATTAACTTTAACGATGCTTATTGCATACCAAACTCTTCGAATATTTACCATCTGTGTGACAGACAAAGCAAGCGTAAACCAGGATCGCTTGATCATATATCCTGCATATTTTCCTTTTGATATTCGACCAACATCAAGATTGTTAATAATCAATTCTGCTCAAGTGATAGCTGGATATTCAGACACTCTTGCTTATACTACGGTCGACACTTTCATTGCCATGTTGATCATGCATATTTGTGGACAATTTGCGATTTTAAAGAAGAAATTATTAAGGCTGATGGACAGAGTAAATGACAGACAGAGTAGAAGCATAACTGAGTTTCAAAAGGAGCTGGCTTTGATTATCAACAAACACGAGCAACTGAACGGGTGAACAATTTATCTAACCACATTAGTAATTTTTCAAAGAGTTGCTGAGGTGATACTCAATGGATTTACACAAATAACATTCAGATATTTTAAAAATCTATTACTCAAAATATTATACTAATAAAAAATTCAATTTCTATTCCATGGACTAATGCACTCTCTGGATATGAATCTATAACACTTAACATAATGAATTATTCGCTTGTTGCATAAATTGTGAACAATTCATGTACAAAATTCTAGCAATTAAATTACTCAGTGCTCGTTACGCTTTGCATGTTAATATACCAATCATCAAATTGCTTTAAAAGTAATCCTACAAATTTTTTTTTCATTCATTAAAGACTTGCGGCCAAGATCGAAGAGTGCTACAGTATGATGTTGTTGCTCCAACTGTTGTTCTGCACCATTGAACTCTGTCTCCAAGGATTTATACTTCTCAGTGTAAGTTGCATTTACGATACTTCTAATCATCCATTGTTGTAACATCAGAGAAATAACCAGGTATTGAATTAAGGTGATACTTAAAAACGAAAATGGAATTTTAAACTTCCAAATGGTTCACATCGTTATCTTCGTCAGCTTCATCCTCGTGCACATATATCTCTATTGCTACATAGGCGAAACGCTCCTCGTTCAAGTAAGCAATTCTATTTGTAAAAGCAATTAATCCGTAATTAAATTGTGACATATAATGTTATTGTATGAACTATGACTTGAAGCTATATATACACGAAAATATTCAAACTTTACGACTGAAGAAATTTTAAAATTATTTAATGTTGGAATAAAGAACGACTGTCTTGATTATATTGCTACAATATCAAGCCAATTTCAAATTTTTATAGAGATTGAATACCTTTAATATGTAAACATTTTGTAATAAATATTATAGATGGTCTTACACAATTAAGGTTTTTAATGTTCATTTAAATACATTACTACAATGGACAAATGGCTGCTAATATCCAATATATATTTGGTCAATATGATAATCATGATAATTATTGAAATTTTAAAATATATAAAAAGACTTTCTGTAGATATTGAAATAGTTATGAAAGCAACGTGTGTACATTATGTTTAAATTAAGAACGGATGGCTAAAGCTCAAATTCGTAAAGACGATGGATGTTTCAGAATCAAGAATTGAGCGACTGCGCGTATGAATCGAAATGGTACAATGTTTCACCCCCTGAAGCCAAGTGTCTCCTACTCATTATGAACAGATCCATTCGGCCACTACGTTTGACAGCAGGCAAATTTAGTACTTTTTCCATGGAAATGTTCAGTAGCGTGTGTATCACCGAATTGTTACTTTAAAAATCAACAAATATCTTATTTAAATCTTATTTCAGATTCTAAAAACAGCGATGGGATATCTTTCAGTGTTATTAACCGTTACATAATCTCTCTACTCAGAATAGACATAGGAACTTTCATTTAGAATAAATACCCTGAGCTGTGCAATTGGTCGTCTCGACGAAGTGTTACCACTGTTGAAGCACACACATTGATGTTACTGTTGAGTGTGTTGAACGTTTCTCACAAATATCTGTCTCGTCGTTTTTTCATATTTTATCGTACCGAATATTTCCTACGAGGTGAAAAGAAAATTTGAAGGGTTTTAGAGGTATGATTCAGAATGCGTGCGAAATTTCTGTAATTCCTGGATCAGTTGTGAAAATATTCGTGCTAAAGAGAGGAAAATATAAAATAAAAAAAAAAAAAACGTCGAGATAGTCGAAATTCCACTTCTTTTCACACGGTGAACAATCCATTTGCAAGTTTGTGATTTTCAACAAACCACTTAAAGTTTGTAATTTTTAAAAAAATTGGGTTGAGATGTGTAACATCTTAAAAGTTCAATAATTTGAGTGATTCATTTCAAACAAATTGAGATTTGTGTAGATACGAATATGGTTGCTTTTCATTCAATATGGAGGTGTGAAGAACTCGAATAACCATTACAATAAGTGGGAACTCTCCTGAAATGTGACAGGACTTTGTTCTACGATTTTGTTGTCCAATAATTTAAGAAACAATTTTCTGTAGGAATGATCCAAGAATGACACTAATAAATAAATGGCAAATTTGTTTAAAGATTGTCAAAAAACAATTTCTATAAGTAATAATTTAAAATCTAGGAGCTGACAGAATATTGGTTTACTTATTAAATTCTATAGCTCTTTCAAAGTACAGAGAATTAAATGAAGTGCTATATATTTCAAGGTGAGTATCGGTACATGTGATGACAATATTTAACATACCATGCCTCCAATGTTTGCTTCTATATACGTTACAATACATTGTTCCAGAAGACTCTTACAGCTAATGGAGTTTGTTTCCTTACATAATAAAAAAATCAATAATTATGCCATGTAGATATATCAGACTTCTTAGAGAGTATGTAAAGAGAATTTGTTTTAATTAATTAAATTTTTGAACAATTCTAGTTAAGACTAATATAAGTCAACTCAAAATTTCCTGAAATACCTTTATCAATGTCCTGCGAAGAAGTACATCTACTGTGAACTAGTTTACAATTATTAGCCAACTACCGAAGCAGACAAATGAAATGAAACGAACGAAGTGCCATGGTAAAAGTTTCTGGACGAACGCGATCAATTATTCAGCAGAAGACAGGGGATACGCGGCAAGTACTGCAGGTTACAGTTTCTTGTTAAAGACGATTAAAAAATTATGGTCACCCTCGCAGATGCGATACTTCGAAGTCTAAGTACTTAGTCAGAAGTTTTAACATTTATACAAAGGGGAGCATGTGCTTCCCTTTCACTCAAAGAACAAGACAGTTCGCGGCAGTCATTTGATTAGTTCCTGTGCGTGTGCCCTCAATGGACTACGATACAGGTATTATTCTGTCATCTATATTTCATGATCTTCGTGCATTTTACCGAGAGTTGTGCTCTTGTTTAATTAAATACCATTTTGTGTCGTATGCTTTTTTATTTTCGTGAATTTTATTCTGTTCTGTTTAATATAAAAATATTTCAAAAGTTCACCTTCTTTCTATCACATGTGTCTCTGTTGTCTTGTATTAATTCGACGAATCGTTCGGCAGAAATAAATAAAATTCTCTATTAGATAATTATTGGAATTACATGATACTCTTTTTTAAGAGTAATATGAACGTTTATAACTTGTGGAGGAAGGTTCAATATCGTCGCGTTATCTCGTAAAGTGGCAAATATTAATATACTAATATTAATAAAATTAAAATGTAATATTTTTCAAATAAATATTTTACAAAATTTCAGGATTGAAACTAGCTCTAGGATGGAATCGTCGAAATATGGAATTAATCGGCGTTTGGCCGGAACCGACTAGAACCGACGAACGATTGCCAAACTTTAAAGTTCTATTCTTCTTGTCCATAATATTTCTATTCGGAATTTTACCGGAGAATGTGAATCTATATTTCATATCAGGAAATCTTGATCTGGTGATGGAAAATCTAACGATGGCAAATTTACCTGGTATGAACGCGATGATAAAGTTTATCTACGCTTGGTATTACAAGGAAGGTACGTATAAAATTTGCCACTAAATTTCCACCGTAATTACAATTATTTAATTCCATTTCACATGTTGAAGTCATGTCACGTGTCATAGTTGTACAAAATATTTCTTTACTAATTCTTCTAAAGAAATTTCAATACTGCTTTCATCCATGAATTAGAAAATGAAATAACCACTATACATAAATGAACATTGGAGCGACGAAAAATAATATTTTTAGTTAATGATAAGTGGATAAAAATTAATATTCTATTAATATAAATTATTCACTATAATATTATCGTAAACTAATATTATTATTATTTATGCTCTTATTATAATATCATAAGATCTTGTATTACAAAAATTATCATGCTATATATAATATTAAATTTTATTATGTTTTCAAGCTTTGAAGCCCGTCATTAAATGTTTCTACGATGACTGGTACACGGCAAAAACGGAAGAGGAAAAAGCACTGATGCTGAGGATGGCTAAACCCGCTAAATTTATTTCTGTATGGTGCTCGATGTTAAGTTTAACAATGCTAGTTGCATACCAAACCCTTCGAATATTTACCATCTGCCTGACTGACAAAGCAAGCGTAAACCAGGATCGCTTGATGATATATCCCGCATATTTCCCTTTTGACATTCGACCTACATCAAGATTATTAATAATCAATATTGCTCAACTGATAGCTGGATATTCAGACACTGTTGCTTATACTACGGTCGACACTTTCATTGCCATGTTGATCATGCATATTTGTGGACAATTTGCGATTTTAAAGAAGAAATTATTAAAGTTGATGGACAATGACAGACATAGCAAAGGCATGGATGAGTTTCAAAAGGAGCTGGCTTTGATTATTAACAAACACGAGCAACTGAACGGGTGAATAATTTATCTAACCAAAATAGTAATTTTTCAAAGATATAATAGTAATTTTTCTGGTGATATTCAATGGATCACTTGAATAAATATTTAAAATATTTTATGATCATATATCTTAAGATATTAAATTTATATATCTGAAGATATGAATATTTTTGCACCATGATGTACTGAAATACTAATACTGTCATACTGCAATAATTTAATATTCCAAGGCTATAGTTCCCTTCCTTTTCTTTCTCTTATATCTTTTTATTCATAATGCCATGTCGCAATATTATAATCCAACAGTGTAACAGTCATTAATCCAATGTTTTAATGCTGTGACATTACAATATTCCACCATCTCAATATTGAAATACAGTCATACCATTCCGATAATTTAAAACTCTATTATTCAAAATATTATACTAATGAAAAACTCAATTTTTATTCGATGGATATGACACAACTAATACATTCTCTGGATATGAATATGAAGCAATAGCAATTAACATAATAAATTATTCGCTGGTTGCATAAATAATTCATGCTCAAAATTCTAGCAATTAGATAACTCACTGCTCGTCATACTTTGCATGTTAATATTCCTATCATCGAATTGCTTCAAAATTAATCGTACAAATTTCTTTTTTATTCGATAAAGACTTGCGGCAAAAATCGAAGAGTGCTTCTGTATGCTGTTGTTGCTTCAACTGCTGTTTTGCACCATCGAAATCTGTCTCCAAGGGTTTATACTTTTAAATGTAAGTTGCCTTTACGATACGTCTACTCTTCTACTGTTGTAACATCAGAGAAATAATATGAATTAACCAGGTGATACTTAAAAACGAAAATGGAATTTTCCACTTTCAAATGGTTCACTTTATTATCTTCGTCAGCTTCGTCCTCGTGCACATATATCTCTATTGCTACATAGGCGAAACGCTCCTAGTTCAAGTAAGCAATCCTACTTGTTAATGCAATTAATTCGTAATTAAATTGTGACACATTCTGTTATTGTATGAACTATGATTTGAAACTATATATACCCAAAAATATTCAAACTATACGACAGAAGATAGTTTAGAATTTCAATGATTGTCTTGATTATATTTTTCCAATTTCAAGCCAATTTTAAATTTATATAGAGATTTAACGCACCTTGAATATGTAAACATTTCGTAATAATTATTATAGATGGTCTTACTCAATTATGATTTTTAATGTTTATTTAGATACAATAGTACAATGAGCAATTGGCATAATATCCAACATATATTTGATCAATATAATAATCGTGATAATTATTGAAATTTTAAAATATATAAAAAGTTTCTGTAGATATTGAAATAGTTTCGCAAGCAACGTGTCTATATTCTGATTAAATAAAACGGATGGATGAAGCTCAGAACCGTAAAGGAGATGATTGTTTCAGAATCAAGAAATGAGCGACTGCGCGTATGAATCGAAATGGTACAATGTCTCACCCCCTGAAGCCAGGTGTCTTCTATTCATTATGAACAGATCTGTTCGGCCACTATATTTGACAGCAGGCAAATTTAGTACTTTTTCCATGGAAATGTTCAGCAGCGTGTGTATCACCGAATTGTTACTTTAAAAATCAACAAATATCTTATTTAAATCTTATTTCAGATTTTAAAAACAGCGATGGGGTATCTTTCAGTGTTATTAACCGTTACATAATCTCTCTACTCAGAATAGACATAGGAACTTTCTTTTGGAGTGCAATACTCTGAGTAGTGCAATTGGTCGTCTCGGCGAAGTGTTATCACTGGTTTTTCATTTTCATCGTCGACGATGTTGCAAGAGTTTGGATTACAGGTTTCTTGCGATTGTCCAAATTGCAACTTGCAACTTGCGGCTATTAAAAGTTCTGAGCGAAAGTTCTCAGATATACGATTCAGAATGCGTAATGTGCGGTACGAAATTCCTGTTATTTAGAGAATCAGGTACGGAAATATTCGTGATGAAGACACAAGAGCAAAAAGTAAAAAAGATAGAAACGTCGAGATGATTGAAAATTTACTTCTTTTCGCCCCGTGAATAAGTCATTCGTTTGTAACTTTTTACAAAATTGCTTTTAAGATTTGTAACATCAATAATTTGTATCATTCAATTCGAACAAATAGAGATTTGTGTAGACAAGAATATGGTTGCTTTTCATTCAATGTAGATGTGTGAAGAACTCGAACAATCATTACAAAAAGTGGGAACTCACCTGAAATGTAACAGGACTTTGTTCTACGATGTCCAATAATTTAAGAAACAAGGGATGATCCAAGAATGAAACTAATAAATAAATGGCAAATTTGTCTAAATACTGTCCAATAACACTTCTATAAATAATAATTTAAAATTTAGAAGCTGATAGAATATTGTTTTACTTACTAAATTTTATAGATCTTTCAAAGTACAGAGAATTAAATGAAGTGCTATATTTCAAGGTGAGTATCGCTACATGTGACAATAATATTTTACATACCATGTCTCCTATGTTTGTTTCTATATTCGTTGCAATACACTGTTCCAGAAGACTGTCACAGCTAATGGAGTTTGTTCCTCTATATAACAAAAAAATCAATAATTATGCCATGTAGATATGTCAGGCTTCTCAGAGAGACTGTAAAGAGTATTTGTTTTAATTGATTAAATTTTTGAACAATTCTAGTTAAGACTAATATCGAAGGCAACTCAAAATTTCCTGAACTACCTTTATCAATATCCTGCGAAGAAGTACATCTACCGTGAACTAGTTCACAATTATTAACCAACTAGCAGACAAATGAAATGAAACGAACGAAGTGCCATGGTAAAAGTTTCTGGACGAACGCGATCAATTATTCAACAGAAGACAGAGGATACGCGGCAAGTATTGCAGTTAACGACAGTTCTTTTTGTTAAAGACGATTAAAAAAAAAAATATGTCCACCCTCGTAGATGCTACACTTCGAAGTCTAGATACTTAGTTAGAAGTTCTACATTTACAGACGGGGAACCAAGAGGAGCATGCGCTTTTCTTTCACTTAAAGAACAAGACAGTTCGCGGCAATCATTTGATCGTGCAGTTCGCGTGCGTGTGCCTCCAATGGACTACGATACAGGTACCATTCTGTCATCTATGTCTTATAATCTTAGTGAATTTTACCGAGACTTAAGTACTGTTTTATTTCCCATGTTCTTTTATTTTCGTGAATTTTAATCTGTTTAAATTAAAAATATTTCAAGACTTCACCTTGTTTTTGTTACAAGTGTCTCTGCAGTCCCGTATTGTTATCAATCCTCATTTTGACGAATCGTTTGACAGAAATAAATGAATTTCTCTATTAGCTAATTATTGGAATTACATGATATTCTTTTTTAAGAGTAATGTAAGTATTTGTAACTTGTGGAAAAAGGTTATATATTATCTCATTGTGTTGTAAAGTGGGAAATGTAATGTCAGTATTAATATAAAGTGTAATATTTTTTGAAGTAATATTTTACAAAATTTCAGGACTGAAAGTAGCTCTAGGATGGAATCGTCGGAACATGGAATTAATTGGCGTCTGGCCTGAACCGACTAGAACCGACGAACGATTGCCAAACTTTAAAGTCCTATTTTTCATGTTCCTAATATTTCTATTTGGAATTTTACCGGAGAATGTGAATCTATATTTCATATGGGGAGATCTTGATCTGGTGATGGAAAGTCTAACGATGGCTAATGTACCAGCTGTAAACGCGACGATAAAATTTATCTACGCTTGGTATTACAAAGAATGTACATACAAAATTTGCCACTAACTATCCCCCATAATTACAATTATTTATTTCCATTCAAGTCTAAATCACGTGTCATAGTTATACAAAATATTTCTTTACTATTTCTTCTAAAGAGATTCTTCTACTGCTTTTGTCAATGATTTAGTGAATGAAATAACCAATACAAATAAGTAGAATAAGATTATTTGTACTACATTAATCATCAATCTATATATAGTATTAAATTTTATTGTATTTTCAAGCTTTGAAGCCCGTCATCAAATGTTTCTACGATGACTGGTACAATGTAAAAACGGAAGAGGAAAAAGCACTGATGCTGAAGATGGCTAAACCTGCCAAATTTATTTCTGTGTGGTGTTCGATGTTGGGTTTAATGATGCTCGTTGCATACCACGCCCTTCGAATATATACCATCTTCCGGACTGACAAAGCAAGCGTAAACCAGGATCGCTTGATCATATATCCAGTATATTTTCCTTTTGACATTCGACCAACATCAAGATTGTTAATAATTAATTCTGCTCAAGTGATAGCAGGATATTCAGACACTATTGCTTATACTACGATCGACACTTTCATTGCCATGTTGATCATGCATATTTGCGGACAATTTGCGATTTTAAAGAAGAAATTATTAAGGCTGATGGACAGTGACAGACATGGCAGTAAAGGCATGGATGACTTTCAAAGGGAGCTGGCTTTGATTATCAACAAACACGAGCAACTGAACGGGTGAATAAATTATCTAACCAAAATAGTAATTTTTCAAAGAGTTTCTGGTGATACTCAATGGATTTTCCCAATAACATTCCCATATTTTAAAACTTTATTACTTACTAAATATTATACTAATAAAAAACTCAACATTTATTCAATGAATTAATGCACTCTCTGGATGTGAACATGAATCTATAACAACTAACACAATGAATTATTCGCTTGTTGCACAAATTCTGAATAATTCATGCTCAAAATTCTAGCAGTTAAATTACTCAGTGCTCGTCACGTTTTGTATGTTAATGTTCCAATCATCAAATTGTTTTAAAAGCAATCCCACTAATTTCTTTTTCACTTATTAAAGACTTGCGACAACGATCGAAGAGTGTTTCAGTATGCTGCTGTTGATTCAACTGTTGTTCTGTACCATTGAAATCTGTCTCCAAGGTTTCATTCTTCTCAATGTAAGTTGCATTTACGATATTTCTAATCTTTCACTGTTGTATCATCAGAGAAATAACATGGATTGCTATATCTTTATTGATATCACCAGGTGATACTTCAGAACGAAAATGGAATTTTCCACTTTCAAATGGTTCACTTCATTATCTTTATCAGCTTCGTCCTTGTTCACATATATCTCTATTGCTACATAGGCGAGATGCTCCTCGTTCAAGTAAGCAATCTTACTTGTTAATGTAAGTATACGGTGTAAGTATAATAATCGTGACAATTAATGAAATTTTAAAATATATAAAAGGACTTTCTATAGATATTCAGATAATTTTGTAAGCAACTTTTGTGTATATTCTGTTTAAATAAACAACGGATGGATAAATTTCAGAACCCAGAGAAGATGAATGTTTCAGAATCGAGAATTGAGCGACTGCGCGTATGAATCGAACTGGTACAATGTCTCACCCCCTGAAGCCAGGTGTCTCTTATTCATTATGAAAAGATCCATTCGGCCACTACGTTTGACAGCAGGCAAATTTAGTACTTTTTCCATGGAAATGTTCAGTAGCGTGTGTATCACCGAATTGTTACTTTAAAAATCAACAAACATCTTATTTAAATCTTATTTCAGATTTTAAAAACAGCGATGGGGTATCTTTCAGTGTTATTAACCGTTATATAATCACTCTACTCAGAATAGACTTAGGAACTTTCATTTAGAATAAATACCCTGAGCTGTGCAATTGGTCGTCTCGACGAAGTGTTACCACTGTTGAAGCAAACACATTGATGTTACTGTTGAGTGTGTTGAACGTTTCTCACAAATATCTGTCTCGTCGTTTTTTCATATTTTATCGTACCGAATATTTCCTACGAGGTGAAAAGAAAATTCGAAGTGTTTCAGAGGAACGATTCAGAATACGTGCGAAATTTCTGTAATTCTTGGATCAGCGGAAATATTCGTACTGAAGAGAGGAGAATATAAAATTAAAAAACAAACGGGTTAATCGAAATTCTACGTCTTTTCACACGGTGATCAACCTATTTGTAAGTTTGTAATTTTCAACAAACCACTTAACGTTTCTAATTTTTTAAAAAATTGGTTTTGAGATGCGTAACACCTTGAAAGTTCAATAATTTGAGTGATTCAATTCAGACAAATCGAGATTTGTGTAGATATGAATATGGTTGCTTTTCATTCAATACGTATGTGTGAAGAACTGGAATAATCATTACAATAAGTTGGAACTCTCCTGAAATGTAACAGTTTGTTCTACGACGTCCAATAATTTAAGCAACAATTTTCTGTAGGAATGATCCAAGAAGGAAACTAATAAATAAATAGCAAATTTGTCTAAAGACTGTCTAAAAATAATTTCTATAAGTAATTTAAAATTTAGAAGCTGATAGAAAATTGTTTTACTTACTAAATTCTATACATCGTTCAAAATACAGAGAGTTAAATGAAGTGCTATATATTTCAAGGTGAGTATCGCTACATGTGACGACAAAATTTAACATACCTTGCCTCCAATGTTAGCTTCCATATACGTTGCAATTAATTTCTATGATCATGACCACTGCCTGCCTTTTGCTGCTTTTGTTCTTTGGATGGTATTCTTCAGTTTTCGTTAGAAGTCCAGCCGAATGTCCTTCTACGCTGGAGAACTTTTTAGGCGCTTCGCCAAAGTTCTATGAGGATCACAGGCTAACGTGCTCTTGGCAGCATCGATATTGCTGCACAGCCATAGATTCTACCCCTTTTTGTGAGACATGCTTCCCAACAGATGGGGAATTCTTTTTCATCGGCGTATTCATCCGGAACTTTTTCATTTGATGTGTTTCGTAAGGGTCCAAGGACTGTAGCTGCTCGAAAACGCTAGCTTTCTTAACTCCCTGCACCGTAAGTTGCTTGAGATTATAATCAGCACGCTCTTAGTTGATTTTCCTGTGAGGGACTCTTGATTCACTTGCTATCTACAACAGACAGAGAATATATTTGGAGATATATTAATAATAGTATAATAGCAGATATATTAATAAAAGTATACTTAATAGTTATTATTACATATAATAGCTAATAATAACTTTAATAACGATAAATAAGAAATTTCATAGACTAAGTATTTCATAAATTTATTCTTGCCCGACTTGCGTACAAAATAAAATTTTCAAAATTACAAATAAATTATTTAAATTATTGTGATTCATAATTTGTATGGTATATGCAACAAAGGAAATTCAGAGAAATTTCAAGATCAATACCAGGTGGGGATTAGTAAAAAAAATAACTGGCTATCGACAACACTCTTAGGAAAGCAAGTTCCTAAGAGAATAGTTAGAATAACTTCCTAATGGAGTCTGTTATTCTGTGTAATAAAAAAATCAATAACTCTGCCGTGTGGAGCTAGACAGATTGTAAAGAGTATTCTTTTTTTCAGGACAGTTAAAATAAATTTTTGCACAACGTTTAAGTTCAGATCAAAATTGAAGTCAATTCAAAATTTCCTGAACCACCTTTATCAATATCCTGCGAAGTTGTACATCTACCCATAGACATGAACTAGTCTACAATTAGTAACCAACTATAGAAGCAGATAAATGAAATGAAACGGACCAAGTACCAGTAGAAGTTTCTGGACGGACACGATCAATTATTCAACAGAAGACGGAGGATACGCGGTAAGCATTGAAGTTAACGACAGTTTTTTTGTCAAACACGATTAAAAAAAAATACGTCCACCCTCGTAGATGCGACACTTTCGAAGTCTAGATACTTAGTTAGAAGTTCTACATTTACAGACGGGAGACCAAGAGGAGCATGCGCTTTTCTTTCATATAAAGAACAAGACAGTTCGCGGCAGTCATTTGATCGTGGAGTTCGCGTGCGTGTGCCTTCAATGGACAACGATACAGGTGTCATTCTGTCATCTATGTCTTATAATCTTCGTGAATTTTACCGAGACTGTGCACTTGTATAATTAAGTACCATTTTATCTCCCATATTCCTATATTTTCGTGAATTTTACTCTGTTCGTGTTCAATTTGTGCTTGTTTAATTTAAAAATATTTCAAGACTTCGCCTTCTTTTCGTTACAAGTGTCTCTGTTGTCTTGTATCCTCATTTCGACGAATCGTTCGACACAAATAAATAAATTGCTCTACTAGATAATTATTGGAATCAGATGATATTCGTTTTTAAAAGTAATATGAACTTGTGGAAGAAGATTCCATATTGTCCCGTTGTCTCGTAAAGTGGCAAATATACTGTTAATATTGATATAATTAATATGTAATATTTTTCAAAGAAATATTTTACAAAATTTCAGGACTGAAAATAGCTTTAGGATGGAATCGTCGGAACATGGAATTAATCGGTGTCTGGCCTGAACCGACTAGAACCGACGAACGATTGCCAAACTCTAAAGTCCTATTTTCCATGTCCCTAATATTTCTATTTGGAATTTTACCGGAGAATGCGAATCTATATTTCGTATCAGGAAATATTGATCTGGTGATGGAATATCTAACGATGACTAATGTACCTGCTATAAACGCGACGATAAAATTTATCTTCGCTTGGTATTACAAGGAATGTACGTACAAAATCTACCACTAACTTTCCACCGTAACTACAATTATTTAATTCCATTTCACGTGTTAAAGTCATGTTAAAGTCATGTCACGTGCCACAGTTATACAAAATATTTCTTTACTACTTCTTCTAAAGAAATTTCTATACTGCATTTATCTATAAATTAGTAAATGAAATAACTAATATTCATAAATGAACACAGCATTGGAGCGACAAAAAATAATACTATTAATTAATAATAAGTGAAAAATTAACATTCTATTAATATAAATTATTTATTATTATATTATCGTTAACTAATTATTATTATTTGTGCTCTTATTGTAATATTATATGATTATTTATATTACAAAAATTATCATGCTATATATAATACTAAATTTTCTTATATTTTCAAGCTTTGAAGCCCGTCATCAAATGTTTCTACGATGATTGGTACAGGGTGAAGACGGAAGAGGAAAAAGCACTGATGCTGAAGATGGCTAAACCTGCCAAATTTATTTCTATGTGGTGTTCGATGTTGAGCTTCATGATGCTCGTTGCATACCACATCCTTCGAATATATACGATCTCCCGAACAGACAGAGCAAGCGTGAGCCGGGATCGCTTGATCATATATCCTGCATATTTTCCTTTTGACGTTCGACCAACATGGAGATTGTTAATAGTCAATTTTGCTCAACTGATGGCGGGATATTCAGCTACTATTGCTTATACTACGGTCGACACTTTCATTGCAATGTTGATCATGCATATTTGCGGACAATTTGCGATTTTAAAGAAGAAATTATTAAGGTTGATGGACAATGACAGACAGACTGAAAGCACGAATGAGTTTCAAAAGGAGCTGGCTGGGATTATCAACAAACACGAGCAACTGAATGGGTGAATAACTTATCTAGCCAAAATAGTAATTTTTCAAAGATATAATAGTAATTTCTATAATAGTAAGTTTTCTGGTGATATTCAATGGATCACTTAAATAAATATTTAAAATATTTTATGATAATATATCTTAAGATATTAAATTTGAATATTTTTGTACCATAATGTACTGAAATACTGATACAGTCGTATTGCAATAATTTAATATTCCATGGCTACAATTCTCTTCCTCTTCTTTCTCTTATATTTTTTTATTCATAATGCCATGTCGCAATATTATAATCCAACAGTATAACAGTCATTAATCCAATGTTTAAATGCTCTGACATTACAATATTCCACCATCTCAATATTGAAATACAGTCATACCATTCCGATAATTTAAAACTCTATTATTAAAAATATTATACTAATAAAAAAACTCAATATTATACTAATAAAAAACTCAATTTTTATTCGATGGATATGACACAACTAATACATTCTCTGAATATGAAAATGAATCAGTAACAATTAACATGATAAATGATATTCGCTGATTGCATAAATTGTGAATAATTCATGCTCAAAATTCTAGCAATCAGATGACTCACTGCTTGTCATACTTTGCATGTTAATATCCCTATCATCGAATTGCTTCAAAATAAATCGTACAAATTTCTTTTTTATTCATTGAAGACTTGCGGCAAAAATCGAAGAATGCTTCTGTATATTGTTGTTGCTTCAACTGCTATACTGCACAATCGAAATCTGTTTCCAAGGATTTATACTTTTAAATGTAAATTCCATTTACGATACTTCTACTCTTCTACTGTTATAACATCAGAGAAATAACATGAATTGCTATACCTTGATTGATATTACCAGGTGATAATTCAGAACGAAAATGGAATTTTTCACTTGCAAATGGTTCACTTCATTATCTTTATCGGCTTCGTCCTTGTGCACATATATCTCTATTGCTACATAGGCGAGATGCTCCTCGTTCAAGTAAGCAATCTTAGTTGTTAATGTAAGTATATGGTGTAAGTATAACAATCGTGATTATTAATGAAATTTTAAAATAAATAAAAGGACTTTCTATAGATATTCAGATAATTTTGTAAGCAATTTTTGTGTACATTCTGTTTAAATAAACAACGGATGGATAAATTTCAGAACCCAGAGAAGATGAATGTTTCAGAATCGAGAACTGAGCGACTGCGCATATGAATCGAACTGGTACAATGTCTCACCCCCTGAAGCCAGGTGTCTCCTATTCATTATGAAAAGATCCATTCGTCCACTATATTTGACAGCAGGCAAATTTAGTACTTTTTCCATGGAAATGTTCAGTAGCGTAGGTATCACCGAATTGTTACCTTCAAAATCTACAGATATCTTATTCAATTTCTTATTTCAGATTCTAAAAACAGCAATGGGGTATCTTTCAGTATTATTAACCGTTACATAATCCCTCTATTCAGAATAGACTTAGGAACTTTCTTGTAGAGTGCAATACCCTGAGCTATGCAATTAGTTATCTCGGCGAGGTGTTATCACTGATTCTTCATTTTCATCGTTCACGACGTTGCGAGAATTTCGATTTTCCAACTTGCAACTTGCAATTTGCAACTTGCGACTATTAAAAGTTTTGAGCGAATGAGGTACGATTCAGAATGTATAATGTGTGGTTCGAAATTCCTGTAATTTGGACAATCAGTTGCGGAAATATTCGTCCTGAAGAGAGGAGAATATAAAATAAAAAAATAAAACGTCAAGATGATTGAATGTTCACTTGTTTTCTCCCAGTGAATAAGTCATTTGTTTGTATTTCTTTAAAAAACTGGCTTTAAGATTTGTAACGTCTTGAAAGTTCAATAATTTGTGTCATTCAATTCGAACAAATTGAGATTTGTGTAGATAAGAATATGGTTGCTTTTCATTCAATATGGAGGTGAGAAGAACTCGAATAATCATTACAATAAGTGGGAACTCTTTTGAAATGCAAAAGGACTTTGTTCTACGATTTTGTTGTCCAATAATTTAAGAAACAATTTTCTGTAGGAATGATCCAAGAATGACACTAATAAATAAATGGCAAATTTGTTTAAAGATTGTCAAAAAACAATTTCTATAAGTAATAATTTAAAATCTAGGAGCTGACAGAATATTGGTTTACTTATTAAATTCTATAGCTCTTTCAAAGTACAGAGAATTAAATGAAGTGCTATATATTTCAAGGTGAGTATCGCTATATGTGACAATAATATTTAACATACCATGTCTCCAATGTTTGCTTCTATATTCGTTGCAATACACTGTTCCAAAAGACTCTCACAGCTAATGAAGTTTGTTCCTTTATATAATAAAAAAATCAGTTATTATGCCATGTAAATATATCACGCTTCTTAGGGAGATTGTAAAGAGTATTTGTTTTAATTGATTATATTTTTGAACAATTCTAGTCAAGACTAATATTGAAGGCAACTCAAAATTTCCTGAACTACCTTTATTAATAACCTGCGAAGAAGTACAACTCCCTATAGACGAGAACTAGTTTACAATTAGCAACCAGCTATAGAAGTAGACAAATGAATGAAACGAACGACGTGCCATGGTAAAAGTTTCTGGACGAACGCGATCAATTATTCAACAGACGACAGAGGAGTACGCGGAAAGTATACAGTCAACGACAGTTTGTTAAAGACGTTTAAAAAAAAAATATGTTCACCCTCGTAGATGCAACACTTCGAAGTCTAGATACTTAGTTAGAAGTTTTACATTTACAGACGAGGCATCGAGAAGAGCATGCGCTTTTCTTCCACGTAAAGAACAAGACAGTTCGCGGCAGTCATTTGATCAGTTCGTATGCGTGTGCCTACAATGGACTACGATATGGGTATCATTCTGTCATCTATGTCGTATGATTTTCATGAATTTTATCGAGACTGTGCTCTTGTTTCATTAAGTACTGCTTTATTTCCTTTATTTTGATGAATTTAACTCCGTTCTTGTTTAATTAATGCTTGTTAAATTTAAAAATATTTCAAGACATCACTTTCTTTTTATCACAAGTGTGTACCTCATTTCGACGAATCGTTCGACGCAAATAAATAAATTTCTCTATTAGACAGTTATTAGAATCACATTATATTCTTTTTTAAAAGTTACATGAACTTGGAAGATTCTATATTCTCTCGTTATCTCGTAAAATGGCAAATATACTGTTCATATTAATATAATTAATATGTAATATTTTTCAAAGAAATATTTTACAAAATTTCAGGACTGAAAATAGCTTTAGGATGGAATCGTCGGAACATGGAGTTAATCGGTGTCTGGCCGGAACCGACTAGAACCGACGAAAGATTGCCAAACTCAAAAGTCCTATTTTCCATGTCCCTAATAATTCTGTTTGGAATTTTACCGGAGACTGCGAATCTATATTTCGTATCAGGAAATTTTGATCTGGTGATGGAAAATCTAACGATGGCTAATTTACCGAGTGCAAACGCGATCATAAAGTTTATCTACGCTTGGTATAACAAGGAATGTACGTACAAAATTTACCACTAACTCTCCGCCGTAATTAGAATTATTTAATTCCATTTCACGTGTTAAAGTCATGTCATGTGCCACAGTTGTACAAAATATTTCTTTACTACTTCTTTTAAAGAAATTTCTATACTGTAATTATCGATAAATTGGTAAATAAAATAATTAATATTCATAAATGAACACAGCATTGGAGCGACAAAAAATAATACTGTTAATTAATGATAAGTGGATAAAAATTAACATTTTATTAATATAAATTATTCACTATAATATTATCGTCAACTAATATTATTATTATTTATGCTCTTATTGTAATATTATATGATTATTTGTATTACAAAAATTATCATGCTATATATAATACTAAATTTTCTTATATTTTCAAGCTTTGAAGCCCGTCATCAAATGTTTCTACGATGATTGGTACAGGGTAAAGACGGAAGAGGAAAAAGCACTGATGCTGAAGATGGCTAAACCTGCCAAATTTATTTCTGTATGGTGTTCGATGTTGGGCTTCATGATGCTCGTTGCATACCACATCCTTCGAATATATACGATCTCCCGAACAGACAGAGCAAGCGTGAGCCGGGATCGCTTGATCATATATCCTGCATATTTTCCTTTTGACGTTCGACCAACATGGAGATTGTTAATAGTCAATTTTGCTCAACTGATGGCGGGATATTCAGCCACTATTGCTTATACTACGGTCGACACTTTCATTGCAATGTTGATCATGCATATTTGCGGACAATTTGCGATTTTAAAGAAGAAATTATTAAGGTTAATGGACAATGGCAGACAGAGTGAAAGCACGAATGAGTTTCAAAAAGAGCTGGCTGGGATTATCAACAAACACGAGCAACTGAACGGGTTAATAACTTATCTAGCCAAAGATATAATAGTAATTTTTCTGGTGATATTCGATGGATCACTTGGATAAATATTTAAAATATTTTATAATCATATACCTTAAGATATTAAATTTATATTTCTTAAGATATGAATATTTTTGCACCATGATGTACTGAAATACTAATACTGTCATATTGCAATAATTTAATATTCCAAGGCTATAATTCGGTACCTTTTCTTTCTCTTATATTTTCTTATTCATAATGCCATGTCACAATATTATAAGCCAACAGTGTAGCAGTCATTAATCCAATGTTCAGACATTACAATATTCCACCATCTCAATATGGAAATACAGTCATACCATTCCGATATTTTAAAACTCTATTATTCAAAATATTGTGCTAATAAAAAATTCAATTTTTATTCGATGGATATGATACAACTAATACATTCTCTGAATATGAAAATGAATCAATAACAATTAACATGATAAATTATTCACTGGTTGCATAAATTGTCAATAACTCATGATCAAAATTCTAGCAATTAGATAACTCATGTCGTTCGTCATGTTTTACATGTTAATATTCCTATCATTGAATTGCTTTCAAATCAATCCTACTAATTTCTTTCTTATTCATTGAAGACTTGCGGCAAAAATCGAAGAGTGCTTCAGTATGCTGCTGTTGATTCAACTGTTGTTCTGTACCATTGAAATCTGTCTCCAAGGCTTTATACTTCTCAATGTAGGTTGCATTTACGATACTTCCGATCTTTTACTGTTGTAATATCAGAGAAATAACATGGATTGCTATATCTTTATTACCAGGTAATACTTCAGAACGAAAATGGAATTTTCCACTTTCAAATGGTTCACTTCATTATCTTTATCAGCTTCGTCCTTGTGCACATATATCTCTATTGCTACATAGGCGAGATGCTCCTCGTTCAAGTAAGCAATCTTAGTTGTTAATGTAAGTAAATGGTGTAAGTATAATAATTAATGAAATTTTAAAATATATAAAAAGAGTTTCTATAGATACTCAGATAATTTTGTAAGCAACTTTTGTGTATATTCTGTTTAAATAAACAACGGATGGATAAATTTCAGAACCCAGAGAAGATGAATGTTTCAGAATCGAGAATTGAGCGACTGCGCGTATGAATCGAACTGGTACAATGTCTCACCCCCTGAAGCCAGGTGTCTCCTATTCATTATGAAAAGATCCATTCGTCCACTATATTTGACAGCAGGCAAATTTAGCACTTTTTCCATGGAAATGTTCAGTACCGTGGGTATCACCGAATTGTTACCTTCAATATCTACAGATATCTTATTCAATTTCTTGTTTCAGATTCTAAAAACAGCGATGGGGTATCTTTCAGTGTTATTAACCGTTACATAATCTCTCTATTCAGACTTAGGAACTTTCTTTTAGAGTAAGTACCCTGAGCTGTGCAATTGGTCAAGTGCGGCGAAGTGTTATCACTGGTTCTTCATTTTCATCGTCGACGAAGTTGCGAGAATTTGGATTACAGGTTTCTTTTGATTTTCCAACTTGCAACTTTCAACTATTAAAAGTTCTAAGCGAAGGAGATACGATTCAGAATGTGTAATGTGTGGTATGAAATTCCTGTAATTCGGAAAATCAGTTGCGGAAATATTCGTGCTGAAGAGAGGAGAATATGGAATAAAAAGAAAACGTCGAGATGATTGAAAGTTTACTTGTTTTCTCCCAGTGAATAAGTCATTTGTTTGTAATTCTTTAAAAAATTGATTTTAAGATTTGTAACATCTTGAAAGTTCAATAATTTGTGATTCAATTCGATAATTCAATTCGAACAAATAGAGATTTGTGTACGAATATGGTTGCTTTTCATTCAATATGGAGGTATGAAGAACTCGAATAATCATTACAATAAGTGGGAACTCTTTTGAAATGCAGAAGGACTTTACTCTACGGTGTCCAATAATTTAAGAAACAATTTTCTGTAGAAATGATCCAAGAATGAAACTAATAAATAAATGGCAAATTTGTGTAAACACAATTTCTATCAGTAATAATTTAACATCTAGATAGAATATTGTTTTACTTACTAAATTCTATAGATCTTTCAAAGTACAGAATGTTAAATGAAATGCTATATATTTCAAGGTGAGTATCGCTACATGTGACAATAATATTTAACATACCATGTCTCCAATGTTTGCTTCTATATTCGTTGCAATACATTGTTCCAGAAGACTCTCACAGCTAATAGAGTTTTTTTCTGTATGTAATAAAAAAATCAATAATTATGCCATGTAGATATGTCAGGCTTCTTAGAGAGATTGTAAAGAGTATTTGTTTTAATTGATTATATTTTTGAACAATTCTAGTCAAGACTAATATTGAAAGCAACTCAAAATTTCCTGAACTACCTTTATCAATAACCTGCGAAGAAGTACATCTCCCTATAGACGTGAACCAGTTTACAAATACAATCAGCTATAGAAGTAGACCAATGAAATGAAACGAACAAAGTGCCATGGTAAAAGTTTCTGGACGGACGCGATCAATTATTCAACAGAAGACGGAGGATACGCGGTAAGTATTGCAGTTAACGACAGTTTTTTTGTTAAAGGCGATTAAAAAAAAAATGTGTCCACCCTCGTAGATGCAACACTTCGAAGTCTAGATACTTAGTTAGAAGTTCTACATTCACAGACGGGGGACCAAGAGGAGCATGCGCTTTTCTTTCACATAAAGAACAAAACAGTTCGCGGCAGTCATTTGAGCGTGCAGTTCGCGTGCGTGTGCCTTCAATGGACTACGATACAGGTACCATTCTGTCATCTATGTCTCATGATATTGGTGAATTTTACCGAGACAGCTCTTGTTTAATTAAGTACCATTTTATCACCCATATTTTTTTATTTTCGTGAATTTTACTCTGTTCTTGTTTAATTTAAAAATATTTCAAGGCTTCTTTTCGTTGCAAGTGTCTCTGCTGTCCTGTATTGTTATCAATCTTTGTTTGACAAAAATGAATGTATTTCTCTATTAAATAATTATTGAAATTATACGATATCCCTTTTTAAGAGTAATATAAGTGTTTATTACTATTGTGAAAGAAGGTTCTATTTCTTCGCGTTATCTCGTAAAGTGGCAAATACAGTGTTAATATTAATCTAATTGAAACGTGAGATTCTTCGAAGAAATCTTTTACAAATTTTCAGGATTGAAAATAGCTTTAGGATGGAATCGCCGGGGCATGGAATTAATTGGCATCTGGCCGGAACCAAGTAGGACCAACGAACGATTGGCAAACTTCAAAGCCCTACTTTGTTTGTCCATTGTATTTATGTTTGGTGTTGGGCCGCAGAGTGCGAATCTGTTTTTCATAAGGGAAAATCTTGAGTTGGTTACAGAAAATTTGTCGACGGCTAATATACCTGGCATGAACGTGATGATAAAGTTCATGTTCGCTTTGTATTACAAAAAGTGTATGTACATAATTTTCTTCATAACTTTCCACTGTAATCACAATTATTTCATTCCATTTAAATCCTCTTCAGAGTGGATAAAAAAATTTTCCTTTTTTGTGACTACTCGTGGCAATTAGACGTGCAGCAAATGAAACATATCATTCTATTGTATATTACTCACTATAATATTATCAATTATATTATTTTAATTAACATCGATGATAGTATTGTAAAACGATGAAGATAATGATTCTGTATACTACTAAAATTGCTTTTGTTTCAAGCTTTGAAGCTCATCGTGAAGTCTTTCTACGACGACTGGCACGGTGCAAAAACGAAAGAGGAAGAAGAGGAGATGCTGAAAATGGCTAAACCTGCCAAATTAATCTCTGTGTGGTGTTCGTCATTAAGCCTCACGATGACAACTCTATATCTAGGTCTTCGAGCAGTTACTGTTTGTCTGACTGATAAAGCAAACGTGAGCCAGGATCGTTTGAGCTTGTATCCCGGATATTTCCCTTTTGATATTCGACCAGTACCGACATTGATAATGGTCAATTTTGCTCAAGTGATCGTGGCATACTCAGGAGCTATTTGTTACACTACGCTCGATACCTTCATTACGATGCTGATCATGCACATATGTGGACAATTCGCGATTCTAAGAAAGAAATTATTAAAGTTAATGGGCGACACGGAAAAAAGTAAAAGCATGGAGTTTCAAAAGGAGCTGTCCTTGATTGTCACCAGGCACGAGAAACTAAACGGGTGAATATTTAATTATAATTGTATAATATTTAATTATAAGTATGTAATGTTTTAAAACATTGTAATTGTACAATTACAAGGCTAGCAGGAAAGATCGAAGAGTGCTTCAGCGTGCTGTTGTTACTTCAAATATTGCTCTGCACAATTGAAATCTGTTTCCAAGGTTTCCTGTTTCTCGATGTAAGTTACGTTTGTTACAATTCTAATATCCCGTGATGCAAACATCGGAGAAATAACAAGAATTAACCAGGTATTACTTAAAAACGAAAACGGAATCTTCAATTTTCAATTGGTCTTCTTCGTCCTCTTTGTTTGCTTCATCCTCGTTCACATATATCTCTACTGTTACATAGGCGAGATGCTTCTCATTCAAGTAAGTGACTCTTCTCGTTGATGCAATCGATTCGTAACTAAATTATAACACATCCCGTTTCGTCCTGCGCGTAAATTAGAAATTATAGTTTAGCGTTTGAACGTGTACGTGTAAAAATGACATGCGTGTTCAACGTATGTCCGAAAGACAAGGACAGTACGATTAGAAATCTACACTTCCGAGTACTGAGTTTCGTAGAAGAGACAGAAGAACTATCTTGGATGTTTCAGGGTAAAGAAATGAGTGACTGCGCGTACGAGTCGAATTGGTACAATGTCTCACCATCTGAGGCCAAGTGTCTTCTATTCATCATGAACAGATCCACTCGTCCACTCTGTTTGACTGCAGGCAAATTTAGTACATTTTCCATGCAGATGTTCAGTACCGTGTATACCTCGATTATTATTATTACTAAATAGATTGCGGATTTTTATGCACTTGCAAGAAATATAAAATCCGATGGAGTCTACGAAAGTACATTGTTTTATGTAATATTTGGTAAATAGAAAAAGAAAGACTTTTGTCACTGTATTTCCAAAAGTGTGAGTACGCACAAAAATCCGTAGTCTTAATTATTGCCTCGAACATACAGAAATCTCATTCAATTCTTGTTTCAGATTTTGAAAACAGCGATGGGATATCTTTCGGTGTTATTAACTGTAACGAGTAGCGATTAGACCTTTCTGTTTGTAATACATGAAAATTTTTCTTAGTGAGTAAATATCTTGATAAAATTGTTCGTCTCGACGAAGTGTGTTATTGCTGAAACACAACACGATGTCGATAAGGAGTGTGTTAAATACTTTTCACGAACATTCCCGTCATTCGATTCTCTACTGATTCGAACTGAATATTTTTTTTATGATGAATTTATTTTTTTATGAGACGAAAGAAGAAAATTCGAAATAGATAGAAGTTTTGAGGTTTAACTGTAACGCGACTCGTGGCGAGGTTTCTGTTGCTACTTCTGAAGATAACATAATTATATAATATCGAGGATATAGTTTCACGGAAAAGAAGGATCATCGAAAACGTAGTTTTTTTTTTTGTATTTAGATTGGTTAGTCTTAATTTTTATCGTTGGAAAAGCTTGAGTTGCTATCTACCAGATTGCAATTAATTGTAAGTGAAAGTTCTGAGCGAATGATTTTAGCGTACGGAAGGGCTGCACCTAATTTGAAGAATCAACAGTATTCGAATCGAAGTATTCATTCTGAAGGAAGTAGAATACAGAATAAAAAGGACGTTGCAACAGTCGTGATTTTACATTTTTTTCGTGGTAAACAAATGCTAATATCACGAATCATTTGCTTGCAGTTTCTAAAGAATTTAACTTGGACAATTATTACAATAAATGAAAGCTTCTCTCATATACGAAGAAGTTATACAACACTGAATGATTCAAAGAACAATTTTCTCAGAGCAATATCTGAAAATGAATGGCGAATTAGACGTCTTAAAATTGAATTAATCTCTAACAGTAACAATTAAAAAATCTGATGGAAAATGTGATGAAATTTGTTTTCTCACTCTTTAGAGTGCAGAGAGTATTGTTGAAAGTATTTAATGTGTAATATTATAAAAGATTGAAATCTAGTCACGAGAGAGACAGAGATAGAGAGAGAGAGAAAGTAAAAAAAAATGTGTACTGAGTTGAAAAGCAATTAACACATTTGCAATCGCTGACCTGGATTCACGTCAACTCAAATTTTATTTATTTCAAAGAGAGACACAATTTAATTTTTACTTTAATTTATTTTATTTCAGTACCATTTTATTTTAATCAAATGTTAGATAACCTGATAGATAGCTGCAGATGTGTTAATTAGATGGAAATTTCAGTTATGACTATAGTTAAAAACAGAATATTTTGCGAAATTCCATGCACTTAATGGGAAATCTGTAGCTGTAAAAATGATTTCTCGGAGGAGTATTTTACGCTACACAAAACCTGTCGAAATATATAAAATATACAGAATAAAAGTTAAAGTCTATTAAAAAGTTCTCTAAATCACCTGTTTACTAATATCCCACGAAGAACCCACATCCATCCATAAATACAAGTTTACGATTAGTAACCAGCTAGAGAAGCAGACGAACGAAAATAAAGACGAAGTACCATGGAAAAAGTTTCTGGACGAACGCGATCAATTATTCAACAGACGACAGAGGAGTACGCGGAAAGTATACAGTCAACGACAGTTTGTTAAAGACGTTTAAAAAAAAAATATGTTCACCCTCGTAGATGCAACACTTCGAAGTCTAGATACTTAGTTAGAAGTTCTACATTCACAGACGGGGGACCAAGAGGAGCATGCGCTTTTCTTTCACATAAAGAACAAAACAGTTCGCGGCAGTCATTTGATCGTGCAGTTCGCGTGCGTGTGCCTTCAATGGACTACGATACAGGTACCATTCTGTCATCTATGTCTCATGATATTCGTGAATTTTACCGAGACTGTGCTTTTATTTAATTAAGTATCATTTTATCTCCCATGTTCCTTTATTTTCGTGAATTTTACTCTGTTCTTGTTTAATTCGTGCTTGTTCAATTTAAAAATATTTCAAGACTTCACCTTCTTTTTGTTACAAGTATCTCTGCTGTTCTCTATTGTTATCAATCTTTGTTTGACAAAAATAAATGAATTTTTCTGTTAGATAATTATTGAAATTATGCGATATCCCTTTTTACGAGTAACATAAGTGTTTATTATTTGTGAAAGATTCTATATCGTCGCGTTTTTCTCATAAAGTGGCAAGTACAGTGTTAATATTAATGTAATTAAAACGTGAGATTCTTCAAAGAAATCTTTTACAAATTTTCAGGATTGAAAATAGCTTTAGGATGGAATCGCTGGGGCATGGAATTAATTGGCATCTGGCCGGAACCGTGTACGACTGGCGAACGACTGTCGAAGTTTAAAACTCTAATTTATTTGTCCATTGTATTTATGTTTGGAGTTGGACCGCAGAGTGCGAATCTATTCTTCATATGGGGAGATCTCGAGCTGGTGACAGAAAATCTATCGATGGCTAATATACCCTATATAACCGCGATGATAAAGTCGATCTTCATCTGGTATTACAAGGAATGTATGTATAAAATTTTCTACTAACATTTCGCCGTAATTAAATTCAATCAGTTCTCCACTAAATTCTTCTGTGAATTTATTTCGTGTTATAAATAATCGAATTTACTTTCGTGTTAGAATTTTCTTTACTGCTTCGTACAATTATGTGCTTTTTTCCCCATTTGATAATTAGTCGACAAATATAAATGAATAAACGCAGTATAAAGATTTCATGTTGAAATTGATATTTCAAATAGATGAAAATTAATGTTGGATATGGACAATGCTAATCAATATTAACATTAATAATTATAATGTTGTAATAAATAATATACAATATTAATTTACGTGATAATAATATAGGTAATTATCTAATAATAGAGAATTATTTACTGAAACTGTTTGATGAATTGATAATAGAATATTGACATTTATATATTAATATTCTAAAATTAATATTCCATTATCTGATATTATATATCTTACATTACACATTACTAGTCAACATTATTGTTAATTAATATTATCAGTAACGTTCTTCCTACAGCTTGCCATATTATAATATTTCAAGTACCATAAAGATTAATATTCTACATAATACCAAGATTGGTTATATTTCAAGCTTTCAAGTCCATCATGAAGTCCTTCTACGACGACTGGCACAGTGTTAAAACGGAGGAGGAAAAGTCAATGATGCTGAAAATGGCCAAACTTGCGAAATTCATTTCTATACTATGCTCGTCATCGTCTCTCGTGATGATCACTGCATTTCTAAGCTTTCGAGTGGTGACTGTGTATCTGGCCGACAGAGTGAACGAAAATCAGGATCGTTTGAGCTTGTATCCCGGATATTTTCCTTTCGACGTTCGACCAGCACCGACATTGATAATGGTCAATTTCGCTCAAGTGATCGCGGCGTATTCAGCCACTATTTGTTACACGACGGTCGATGCCTTCATCGCGATGCTGATCACGCACATGTGCGGACAGTTTGCAATATTGAAGAAGAAATTATTAAAATTGATGGGCGACGACAGACAGTGTAGAAGTATTGATGAGTTTCAAAGGGAGCTGACTTTGATTGTCACCAAGCACGATCACTTGAACGGGTGAATAGTTTATCTAATGATGATTGTAATTTTTCAAACAACTGTTTATTTTTTTTATTTATTTATTGTTAATATTGTATATGATAACTTCAATATTTCAGGAACATACTGATTAGTATTGTTCAATGAATTCAATGTTCCATGGTTACAATTTAATTTTTAATCACATCAACGAGCATCCGGTGCACTTAGAGTACTATTAATTCAAATTTTCTTTTATGTTCGTTCTATAATTATTGCAACTTCAATGTTTCAATATCACGATGTATATTGCTACAGTGCAATAATTTAATCTTCCAAGACTGTTGCTTTCTTATTTTTCATTCTCTTATATTTCTTTATTCTATAATCTCAATATTACAATCATACAGTGTAATAATATACAAAAACTTTTTCCCACTTTCTCACTAGTCAAATGCTTTGATATTCCACTATTTCAATACTGTAAAATAACACTTTGATGCTTTGTATCATTCAAAAGATAATGTAATCTTTATTGTTAATTAATACGTTATTTCATTTCGTTAAAACTGAGAACAATTTTGGAATAATTTCATTAAATTACTCGGCTTGTTAAATATTGTTGCTCGCCATGCTTTACATATTAATATTTCTCAATAGCAATTCTACAAATCCTTTTTTCTCTTTCATTTCATTAAAGACTTGCTGCAAAGATCGAAGCGTGCTTCAACATATTATTGTTGCTTCAATTATTGCTCTGCACTGTCGAAATCTGTTTCCAAGGTTTCCTATTTATCAACGTAAGTTCCCCTCGCTGTACATCTAATATTTCATGACTGTAACATTAGAGGAATAACACGAATTAACCAGGTAGTACTTAAAAACGGAAATGGGATCTTCAGCTTTCAAATGTTTTCGTCCTCTTCATCTGCTTCGTCCTGCTGCACATATATCTCTACTGTTACATAGGCGAGATGCTTCTCATTCAAGTAAGTGACTCTTCTCGTTGACGCGATCGATTCGTAACTAAATTATAACACATCCCGTTTTGTTCTGCGCGTAAATTAGAAATTATAGTTTAGCGTTTGAACGTGTACGTGTAAAAATGAAATGCGTGTTCAACGTATGTCCGAAAGACAAGGACAGTACGATTAGAAATCTACACTTCCGAGTACTGAGTTTCGTAGAAGAGACAGAAGAACTATCTTGGATGTTTCAGGGTAAAGAAATGAGTGACTGCGCGTACGAGTCGAACTGGTACAACGTCTCACCCCCTGAAGCCAGGTGTCTTCTGTTCATCATGAACAGATCCACTCGTCCACTCTGTTTGACTGCAGGCAAATTTGGCACTTTCTCTATGCAAATGTTCAGCAGCGTATGTACCTCGATCATTACTACGTAGACTGCGTGATTTTACGCGCGTTTCAGGAGAAATTTTTGTAAATGCGAAATTAGGCACAGCGCACGTGATACGAGAAAAAAAAAAAAAATCTACAATGCGTCCAGAGCTACACTGCTTTCATATAATATTTGATGTAACGTTAAGACAAGACTTTCTACCGAAAGGAATGTTTTTTTCACCGTAGCCCCGAAAATATTTCGTAGCCTGATCGTTACCTCGAGAAACACACGATCCGCGGAAATCTTATTTAAATCTCGTTTCAGATTCTGAAAACAGCGATGGGTTATCTTTCGGTGTTACTGACAGTTACAAGTAACGATTAAACCCCTTCATTCGTAATCTACATAGAAATCTTTCCTTTAGAGTAAACATCCTGTGCAGTTGTACAACGTTGCTCGTTTAAAGATATTGTTTAAAGATATTTCAGCGAAATGTTAACGCAGTCAAAGCACAACACGATGTCGTTATTGCTGAGTGTATTAAACGTTTTTTCATAAATTTCCGTCTCTTTTTTTCTTGATACTTCATCCAACTTCGTCGAATATTTTTTTTTTTTTATGAAGCAAAACGATAATTCGAAATTGGCAAATTTTTCGAACTTCAACTCGAAGTTTCTGTTGATAATTCGGAGATAAAAATAATTATTATGAAAGACAGAGGTTGTAATGTGTTCGTTCGTTAATATCTGTTCAGATGTGTGTTAAAATAACATTCAAAAATATTAAATCTATTGGAGGATGCAAAGGATTGGTACGAGTGTATAAAGATTTTGATGAAACGATTAAAAAATTGAAATAACACTCACGTGTTTTGGGAATACCACTTCTGTCAGAGATTCTTCTTTCACTGACATCGCTTCCAATTGATACACTTCGAGTCACTGAAAATGCAATATGAGAAATCACATTCGTCGTTAATAATAAAAACGTGATAATATCAAAATAACAGTAAAATAATAGATCTTCTAAATATAGTGAATTAATAAACAATAGATTTTCTTTAATTTATAAAACAAATAAACAGAGACGAAAAACATGCGACACGTCACGTAGAATTATATCGTTTTGTTATCGCGACGCACGACGAAAGACTTTTGCTTTTAAACTTTGGAAACTATTCACATTGTATCATAAACGTCACTGCGTATGATCATTAGACTACGGATTTCTATGCGAGTTCCTATCTTTGAGAATACAATTTAAAAAAAAATGGAATTTCGATAGAAAGTTATTTCACGCACTAGATATTGTTGAAAGCACTGTACTTTGAATGTTCTATATCCTCTGCATTTCTATGCACTAAAACTTTCAGAAAATGCACAAAAATCACCAGTCTGGCGTCACAAATCGGAGAAATTCGCGAAGAGAGCAAATGAAACTTTCATGCGAGAGTTATGTTTCACTTTGGCCATTTTAACCTCTTGCGCTGGCAACTGGTTGCGCGGACCATAACGAGTGACCGAACCGTATACAATAATTCGTCGCTTTCTTTTCCTTTTGAACTCGTCGGTATAATATCACTGGATAGAAATGATTAAGAAGCTAACAAACGAATCATTCGTTCTGCCTGGGTTATATTGAACTATACCTAAAACTGAGAAAATGTTGCAATTTGGGAGAAAAAGTTCTCGTGGCACGTCATTCCAGCGCAAGAGGTTAAAATCTTTTATCAAGTTACACTTTATAAAATAATTTATGTCACTTCGCGTACAAATTCAATCGAGTCGATTTATAAACTAAACGGCGAAGATCGAACAGAATTAATTGCACAGAAGCGAAATAGAATTTCGAATCACATGTCACAAGATCGTATCGTATGTTAAGTTTTATAAGTCCAATTCAAGTTTCATGAATTTGATGACGATCTTACCAAATTTCGATTCGATTTCATATGACGCGCGAAACACTTCCAAACTATTTGTTTTCACCGCTCACGACGCAATCCTCCGACGAATAAATACCATTATCGGCATCGCTTGCCGCGCGACTTGCTCTCGCTCGTGCACTTCGACGCGTACTGATGAAAGAGTCGCGGTAAGGGCTCGACAGACGTGCGTACAGGCTTGCCACGAAAACGCAAGCGTCATCTGTGTCTCTACCCCTGCTCCCTCGTGCTGTATACGTGGCCACAAATAATTACAGATGCAACAACTGTAATTATAGACCTAAATGGCAGGCATACGCGGAGAGACGGCGAGTCCGAACTACCTATCCACGAATAATTGATATCATAATTGCGCGCTCCGAATTGTACGAAGGGGAAACATCTCCTAGAAGTTGGTAAAGTTCAACGATGGACAAAAAAAAAGCCACTATAGACGGTCAACGAGGCAATTGTGCATTAATTAAGACAATTCGCAAAAAGACAGTGGCGTTTGCAAAAAATCTTCAACTTCTCGTAAGTTAAATATAAGCAAAGGTAAGTAAATAGAATGAATGTAAGAGAGCAGGAAAAAAAATTGGGACTATTAATTTTGAATAATAATAATAATAATAATATTATATATATATATATATATATATATATATATATTAAATATAATTTATTATATATATAAAAAAATATTATATATATGTTTAAAAATAATTTATTATATATATATATATTAAATATAATATATTATATTATTTATATAATTTATTATATTTATTATACAATATTATATAATAATATATATAATTTCGTTCAAAAGTTTAAAGTTTAAATTCTCATAATAATATCGATATTTGGCACAAATTACGAATTTTAAATTATACAGATTTATTTGACAAAATTTTCGCGAGATTATAGATTATAATTTTAGATGATGACACGCGTATACATGTTCATTTTGTGTAAAAATTTGTAAAAAGATTCCAACAAATGTTTGAATTTTATCGTAAGAAACTGTTATATTTCAGATATATATTTCAGGTCCTGAAAACGTCAATGCCGTATGTATTTCCATTCTCTGTGCAACGAAAAATCAATAGAGCGACGATCCTCTAATTACGAGTCTTTATAACTGCTCATCACTTCGACAGTCACGGAGGAAATATTTTGGTATCAGTCTCAAAATGATGGCGTGTAGAAAAGTAATAAAGCTATTAAGAGAGTATTTTTTTTTTATAAAACCTCGAAAATATCATTTTTCTTTCCCCTTTCCCTGAGTCAAATATTAAATAATAACTGATCCAATGAAAGTATTTGCAATATTTTGATTCGATTAAATCAAATGGGAAATTTGGCAACGAAACTGCTAAGAATTTCGATTCTTAATTTCATTCCTGTTTTTGAGGAATTATAGATGAATCGAACAGAAAATTTAGAATAGCTTACACGAGACATACCAACGAGAAATCTGACTAAATTAAGGAAACCAAAGTATTGAAAATATAAAAATATTTACACTTTTAATATTTAACATTTAATATTTAATATTTCATAAATTTTAATTCGCGGAGACTACCTAATCAGAGAGTCAGTTTTTCCAGTTTTGAGACAAACACAGTACATACATTCTCAAATTTTTTGAGACTTTATCGCTACAACGCACAATGAAAGATAAAATATGACTAGGAATTTCTAAAACTACATAAAATTAGACACAATTAATTTCATAAATCACGTACGTTTAATTTCACAAAATTTCCAAGTAATTACACTAACAAAAATTTCTACGCTGACTGACTTTCTCGTCGCAAGACAACACCTGACTTTCTTCGCACCGAACATTTTTGTTCGCAAAGAGGTGAAAATTTTTTTACTTGTAAATTCTTTCATGCACGTTCGTAAAAGAAAAGTAGCAATGGACTAACAATGTTCGAACGGCGCTTACTGCCTTGGACGAGATCATGAATAATTAGAAAATTTCTGGCGAGCAATTTGTAACATTGCGTCCGACTCAAACACGCTATTAGAAACGACATCGAAACTATGCCTGCACACGAATAATTGACCACATAAACGCATTCTGAATGCATAATAAGGGCATGCGCTGACAGAAGGTGACTATGACAAAGTAACTATTGAATCGCGTGAGAACAGTCGCGCGAAAACTGGTCACCATGGACGTCCAACGAGGTAAGATTTAACTACTATGACTATCCATAAGTGTCAACTTCTACAAAATAGTTTTTGTGATAGATTTGAACTATCAGTGCGGTTGGAATCGTTACTTAATGAAGTACATGGGCATCTGGCCGAAAGAAAGGAAATGGAACCGAATTTCGAGTTACGCCGTCCTGTTACCATCCCTCACGATGCTGTGTTTCATGTGTGCTCCACAAACCGCCAATTTGCCGTTCATAGCGCACGACTTGAATCTGGTGGTCGAGAATTTATCGACAAGTAACATGGTCACCACGATTGCACTCGTGAAGACCATAATTTTTTGGGCAAATAGCGAATGTAAGAATCTTACGATTTAACCACGTTATCAATTACACTTTTTTCGTATACTATCAATTTTAAAAGTACACAAAAGACGCAGAACAAATTTGTATTTTATTATGAACACAGGAATTAATATGGATATACCAAGTGTACTGTTTCATTCATTTTTCATATTTAATTTCGTTTATTGACGACAATGCAGATTAGAGGGTACTGGAATTTTATACTAAAGTCCCAGAAAACTACGTTATATATGATTATCAGCGAAAAAAAAAAAAAATAGAATAACCTCCTAGTGAGCATTGTATAGGTAAAAGCGTAATTAATGAAATAAAAGTACACTTGCAAACAGCAGAATAAAAGATCTTCTATTGTCACACGAAACAAACATTCTATCTGCCATTTTCTCCATTTGAAAGCAATGATGTCCCTACTAAAGTGCATGGCCAAGGACTGGGCTACGGTGGAAACGAGAACAGGACGAGAAACAATGATGAACGCCACGAGGACCAGCAGAAAGACCACGATAGGGTGCTTAATGCTGTGTCAGTTCGTAGCCACCTCTTACGTGTTCCTACGATTATCTACCTTAAAACATAGCGACAACAAACTGGTCTATCGTGGCTATTTCCCTTATAATGTAAGCATCAGTCCAAGCTACGAGCTGACGATGGTTGGCCAAACTATGGCTGGTATATACGCAGCTTTGACATACACATCCGTGGACACGTTTATCGTTATGCTGGTCTTGCACGCTTGTGGGCAGCTGTCAAATATGAAGGACGACTTGAGGAACATTCATTCGTGTGATAAGAAGAATTTGCGAGCGAGATTGAAGAAAATTGTTGAGAAGCACAATTATATTAATGTGTACGTATTGAAGCTAAATTGTGAGTAGAAGCTAAATTGTGTACAGAATTTTTTTGAGAAATCTCGAAAATGTTGAAAATGTATAAAAGACACAAAAGGTACAAAATGTAGATTCTAGTAGACAGAGTAAAAATCTCTTGTTAAAGAGCAAAAAATCAATTTGCAAAAGCCATTTCATGTTCACACAAACTTCATTCTATTCATATACGGTTAATAGTGAATAATTATTTTACACCTGGCAACTTAATTTTTCTAATGTAAACCAGACTGTGAATTTTTGCGCAATTTTTATTTTTATGAATAGATGGTCATTTTTTATGACGTCCTTGAACCAGTATCTCGAAAAATATTTCCAATTATAAATATATTCTTAATATAATAAATTTCATTTATATTTATTTCATCATATATGCAATTTATGCACTTATGCATTCAAAATTAATCTTTGTTTAGAAAAGACCCATAGGTAAATTTTTCAATGTTTTGTTAATTACGCTATATGAACGTTTAAGGTTCGCAGAAACAGTAGAAAATTGTTTCAACGTAATGCTTCTGATTCAAATGCTCGGTTTCATCATTCAAGTATGCTTCCAGTCTTTTTATACGATCACGGTACGAAAAAGAATTATACTTCTTCTTAAATTTATATCGTACAAAACATTATAAAATAACATACCTTTCTTTAATTTAATTTAATTGATAGTCACTTGGGAACATATCAGAGCGATTCATGATATTCCAAATCATATTTCTCATTATCTATACAGCATGTTTGATGGTGCAATTATATCTGTATTGTTACGTGGGTGAAAAACTTACGCTGGAGGTATTACTCGTGAGAGAAAAATTTGTCACCGTTTTTCTAATAAAAATTTGAATATTTAGATTTAGCTACTAGAAAATTTAGACACGCCGACAATTTGAACATGTTTTTTTAGAGTACGGATGTAGCTAACACAGCGTACAATTGCGAATGGTATAGTCTACCTTCAAAAGACGCAAGACTACTTATAATTATTATGTGTCGAGCTAGAGCATTACCGCTGAAACTTACAGCAGGCAAATTTTGCTGGTTTACTGTGCTGTTATATTCCCAGGTGAGTGAATTACACGATATATGGATACAATTTTCAGTGAAATAATCCTTTTAATCCCACGAAAATCGTCATCCTGAAGATTTGGTCATAAAATACAGTTCATTTGACTTAAGTGATTTTAATTTGCAATGTATTACCAGTTTTTATAGAAGAATCTGGAAGAAATATTTAGCATATAAAATATCCGTATTTTGTAGAAGAAACATTTAGCATGTAAAGCATGTTACATGTTCCTTCTATCCAATCACTTTTTATAGAAGAATTAGCATATAAAATATTCATAATTGTATATTACAGCTCAAGAAAGTATTCGAGTATTCATAAAAAAAGAATTCTTTTCTTCTCTTTTCTTTTAAATATATACTTGTACTCTAATGTCTAGTAACTTTTATATACAATATTTATGTTGTATCACATTAAAAAATTTAATGTAATATTTAGTAATTGAATTTCAAAGTATTTTTAAAGCACATACAAATACAATTCCATAAATGGTCGAATACTCTCGACAGCAATATTTTTATATGTTTCAGGTTCTGAAAACCACAATGTCGTACATTTCTGTATTATACGCAACGAAAAATTAATAAAGCGACTATTTCATAATTATGATTCATTAACGTTTCATTTTGATAGTACAAATACCATGAAAGGAATATTTTAGTATTCACCTATGCTTCGTAGAGATAAAAAATAAACTGACGTGTTCAGCAATTAACAATCGTGGAAAGTAATAAAGCTATTATAAATGTCAACGGGATATTCCCTGAGTGAATATTTCTCACGAAATCTCGAAAATATTACTTCTCTATCCTTCTACTCCTCTATATTTCTCACATTCACAATAGATACTTGACTGGGTGAAGTAAAATGAAAATGAATAAATTGAAAAAACGGATGAAGAATTAATAAACGCAGAAAGAACAAATTGACAGAACAAGGGAAACTTAAGTATAAAACTCACACTCTGTGGAAATTCCATTACATCCAATGATTTTCCTACTCTCAGTTCCTTCATCGTCCACGAACCACTATATGTCACTGAAAAGAAAAGATATGATATAAAAATATATGTTTCAGACCAACAAAAAAGATAAAGATATTATCACTAACGCAACCAACTTATGTAGTATGCATACAAACAAGTATAAAAACACGTAATATGTCGCTATATTCTATACACAAGGGCTTAAAGATGTTTAGATACAACTCATTTTCAGTATTACATAAGAATATTTTCAAGCTTCATTTCCATTTCGTAATACGACTTTTTTTACACGTACACATATAAACTTAATTCTTATAAATTGCATTTTTATGTAAAATCTTTCGTTTGGTGGTCGGGCCGGTGAATAATTTCTAAATTCTAAAACACTGGCATCACCATCTAATCGATATATAACTATTTTCTTCGCAAAGCGATGAACATTTTTTTTCACTTGCAAGTTCTGATGTACGTTCATGGAAAGAAAGTTAACACGTACTAACAATGTTGAGAAACCGCAAGTTCTCCGCTTATTGTCTTCGTACCCTGGTCAAGATCATAAATAATTACCCACGACTAATAACAGACTCGAGGCAACTCAAACGTGCAACTGAGAACGACACCGAGCTACCCTATTCACAAATAATTAATGACATCTGCACATTGTGAATGTAGAATAGGAGCATGCGCTGAGAGGAACAATGAAGTAACATTCGAATCGCGTGAGTCCAGTCATGCGAAAATTGATCGTCATGGATGTCCAACGAGGTAACCTCACGCATTAACGAATAGATAGTTTCAATCGTTCAGAACAAATAAGCAAATGAATAAATATTTAAGTAAAGTCAATAGAAAGTTTAAAAAAAGAAAAAGAAAAATTGAATTTATCAGGAAATGAATATACGTTATATTTTATTGGGTGATTTTGTACATATCGTTGATTTTTGTATTTTAGGTGAAGGTGAGAAATTGGTTGATGGAAATTGCCTAATGTCAAATTTTCGATTTTATTCTCTTATCTCGCATTAAATTTTCTATCACTACTCTACGAAGTTCTCACAAATTAAATACAATTTTCAGAAAAATCCCTCCTTTTTGTAGTTCAAAATTATTCTTTTAACCCATAGTATTATACAATCACATTGTAATTTGACTACAGTAATTTTCATTATATTACGAAAATGTGAAATATTTCTCTTTACTTTGTCTTTTACATTCTACTTAATGGAGATTAACGATAAAATGAAATCATTTTAACAGTGTAAGACACAATAAATAAAAGTCACGTTTGTAAATAATATCACAGATAAGAAAGAAAATATTCCTAATTATATGATTTTCCATCGATAACAGATCTTAACTACCAGTTCGGTTGGAACCGTTACATAATGAAGTACATGGGTATCTGGCCGAAAGAGAGGAAATGGAACCGGCTTTCGAGTTACGTCGTCCTGTTACCATCCCTCATGATGCTGTGTTTCGTGTGTGCTCCACAAACCGCCAATTTGCCGTTCATAGTACACGATTTGAATCTGATGGTCGAGAATTTAGCGATGGGTAACATAACCGTCTCGATTGCGTTCGTGAAGACCATAATTTTTTGGGCAAAAAGCGAACGTAAGAATCTCACGATTTAACCGCGTTACCAATTAAACTTTTTTCCATATACTATCAATTTTAAACGTAGATCAAATTTGTATTTTATTATGAACACAGGAATTAATATGGATATACCAAGTGTACTGTTTCATTCATTTTTCATATTTAATTTCGTTTATTAACGAAAATGCAGATTAGAGGGCATTGGAGTTTCGTACTAACGTTCCAGAAATCGCTATCACTACGTTATATGTGATTTGCGAAAGAAAAATAAGCTCCTAGCGAGCAGTGTATAGATATTGTATAGGTAAAAGCGTAATTAATGAAATAAAAGTACTCTTGCAAACAGCAGAATAGAAAAGATCTTCTATTGTCACAAGAAACATACATTCTATCTGCTACTTTCTCCATTTGAAAGCAATGACGTCTCTACTGAAGTGCATGGCCAAGGACTGGGCAACGGTGGAAACGAGAACCGGACGAGAAACAATGATGAACGTCGCGAAGATCAGCAGAAAGACTACGATAGGGTGCTTAATGCTGTGCCAACTCGTAGTCATCTCTTACATGTTCTTACGATTATCTACCTTGAAACAGAGCGACAACAAACTGGTCTATCGTAGCTACTTCCCCTATAATGCAAGCGTCAGCCCAAACTACGAACTGACAATGATTGGTCAAGTTATAGGAGGTTCGTACGGAGCATTGAGTTATATATGCGTGGACACGTTTATCGTTATGCTGGTCTTGCACGCTTGCGGACAGTTTTCAATTCTGAAGGAGGACTTGAGGAACATTCATTCGAGTGATAGAGAAGATTTTCAAGCGAAATTGAAGAAAATTGTTGAGAAGCACAATTATATTATTGGGTACGTATTGAAGCTAAATTGCGAACAGAAATGTAGAAGAATCTTTTGAGAAATCTCGAAGGATGTATAAAAGGTGTAAAATGTAGAGTTTAACGAGAGTAGTCGTCAAAAAGCGAAAAATCAATTTGCAAAAGCTACTTCATGTTCGCACCCACCTTCATTTTATTTATAATAAGTATATTTTATTTATATACTTATTAATAGTGAATAATTACTTTATACTTGGCAATTTAACATTTTTTAAGTAAACTAGACTATGAATTCTGCGCAATTTTTATTTTTATGGACAGATGGTCATTTTTTATGACGTCCTTGAACAAGTATCTCAAAAAATATTTCCAATTATAAATTCTTAATTCTTCATTGATACTCATTTCATTATATTTATGCATTTATACATTCAGAATTAATCATTAATTAGAAAAGATTTAACCCGTAGGTAAATTTTTCAAGGATTTGTTAATTACGCTATATGCACGTTTAAGGTTCGCAGAAACAGTAGAAAATTGTTTCAACGTAATGCTTCTGATTCAAATGCTCGGTTTCAGCGTTCAACTATGCTTCCAGTCTTTTCGAGCGATCACGGTACGGGAAAAGATTTATAATTTTTCTTAAACTTATATCGTACAAAAGAAAAACATTATAAAATAACATATTTCTTTTTTAATTTAATTTAATTAATAGTCATTTGAGGACAAAGCAGGGCGATTTACGATAATCCAAATCATATTCCAAATCAATCTCATTATCTATATAGCTTGTGAGATGGTGCAATTATACCTGTATTGTTACGTGGGCGAAAGACTTATGATGGAGGTACTACTTGTGAGAGAAAAATTAGCCGCTGCTTTTCTAATAAAAATTTCGATATTAGATTCAGATATTCAAAAATTTCGACACATCGATAATTCGAACATACGATTTTTCAGAGTACGGATATAGCTAACACAGCGTACAATTGCGAATGGTACAGTCTACCTCCAAAAGACGCAAGACTACTCATAATTATCATGTGTCGAGCTAGAGCATCACCGCTGAAACTTACAGCAGGCAAATTTTGCTGGTTTACTGTGCTGTTATATTCCCAGGTGAGTAAAAACGAATTACACGATATAAGGATACAATTTTCAGTGAAATCATTCTCCTGATCCCACGAAAATCGTCATCTTGAACATTTGGTCATAAACTACAGTTCATCTGATTTCAGTGATTTGAATTCGTAATTTTTACAGAAGAATTTAGAAAAACCATTTAGCATAAAATATCGATATTCTATAGAAAAAACACTTAGAATGTAAAGTATGTTAAATGCTCTTTCCGTCTATGCAATTTTTATAGAAGAAACAATTAGCATATAAAATATTCAATAATCGTATATTATAGCTCACGAAAATAATCGAGCATTCATAAAAATAGAATTCCTTTCTTTTCCTTTTTTTTTTTAATATATACTACTACTGTAATGTCTAGTAACTTTTATATACAATGTTATATAAAATATTTACGTTGTATCACATTAAAAAATTTAATGTACTATTTAGTAATTAAATTTCAAAGTATTTTCAAAACACATGCAAATACAGTTCCATAAATGGTTAAATACTCTCGACAGCAATATTATTGTATATTTCAGGTCCTGAAAACCACAATGTCGTACATTTCTGTATTACACGCAGCGAAAAGTTAATAAAGCAACGATTCCATAATTATGATTCATTAACGTTTCATTTCGAGAGTACAAATACCATGAAAGGAATATTTTAGTATTCACATATGCTTCGTAGATATAAAACATAAAGTGACGTGTTCAGCAATTAACAATCGTGGAAAGTAATAAAACTATCATAAAGATTAACGAGATATTCACTGAGTAAATATTTCTCGCGAAGTCTCAAAAATATCATTTCTTTATCCTTCTATTCCTTTACATTTCTCACATTCACAATATTTGGCTTGGTGAAATAAAATGAAAACGAATAAATTGAAACAACGGATGAAGAATTAATAAGCACAGAAATAACAAATTCATAGAACAGAGGAAATTTAAGTATAGAACTCACACTCTATGGAAATTCCATTCATCCAGCGATGTTTCTTTTGTCAGTTCCTTTATGACCTATGAACCGCCATATGTCACTAAAAAGAAAAGATATGATGTAAAAATATCTGTTTCAGACTAACAAAAAGATAGAGATATTATCACTAACGCAACAGAGTTTCTGTAGTATATATACAAACAAGTATAAAAATACCTAATATGTAGCTACATTCTGTACATAACTGCTTAAAAATATTTAGATACAACTCATTTTCAGTATTACATAAGAATATTTTCAAGTTTCATTTCTATTTCGTAAGACGATTTTTTTTTACACGTACACATAAACTTGATTCTATAAATTGCATTTTTATGTAAAATATCTTTCATCTGGTGGTCGGCCCTCGAATAATTTCCAAATTCTAAAACACTGATCTTCACTATCTAATAGGTATTAAACTATTTTCTCCGCGAAGCGATGAACATTTTCTTTCACATACAAGTTCTGATGTACGTTCATGGAAGGAAAGATAAAACGGACTAACAATGTTGAGAAACAGCAAGTTCTTCGCTTACTGCCTTCGTACACTGGTCAAGATCATAAATAATTACCCGCGACTAATAACAGACTTGTGGCAACTCAAACGTGCAACTGAGAACGACACCGAGCTACCCTATTCACAAATAATTGATGACATCTGCGCATTGTGAATGCAGAATAAGGGCATGCGCTGAGAGGAACAATGAAGTAACATTCGAATCGCGTGAGTCCAGTCATGCGAAAATTGATCGTCATGGACGTCCAAAGAGGTAATCTCACGCAGTAACTAACAGATAGTTTCAGAACAAATAAGCAAATGAATAAATATTTAAATGAAATCAATACACAGTTTGCAAAAAAAAAAAAAAAAAAGGAAAATTAGACTGATTAGGAAATGAATATATTATATTTTATGTTTTGTACATATCGCTGATTTTTGTATCCTAGGTGAAGGTGTGAAATTGGTTGATGGAAATTGTCTAATGTAAAATTTTCGATTATATTCTCTTATCTCGTATTAAATTTTCTATCACTACTCTACGAAACTCTCACAAATTAAATACAATTTTCAGAAAAATCCTTGCTTTCTGTAGTTCAAAATTATTCTTTTTAACCCATAGGTAGTATTATACGCCGGTTACAGTAATCTGGCTACAGTAATTTTCATTATATTACGAAAATGTGAAATATTTCATTTTACTTTGTCTTTTATATTTTATTTAATGGAGATTAACGATAAAATGAAATCAATTTAATAGTGTGAGACACAATAAATAAAAGTCACGTTTTTTAACATCGTAGATAAAAAAGAAAATATTCCTAATTATTTGACTGCCCATTGATAACAGATTTGAACTACCAGTTGGGTTGGAACCGTTACATAATGAAGTACGTGGGTATCTGGCCGAAAGAGAGGAAATGGAACCGGCTCTCGAGTTACGTCGTCCTGTTACCATCTCTCACGATGCTGTGTTTCGTGTGTGCTCCACAAACTGCCAATTTGCCGTTCATAGCGCACGACTTGAATCTGGTGGTCGAGAATTTATCGATGGGTAACATGACCGTCTCGATTGCGCTCGTGAAGACCATAATTTTTTGGACAAATAGCAAATGTAAGAATCACACGATTTAACCGCGTTATCAATTAGACTTTTTTCGGATGCTATCAATTTTAAACGTACATCAGAGACGTAGATCAAATTTGTATTTTATTATTTCTGTCATTTTCTCCACTTGCAAGCAATGACGTCTCTGCTGAAGTGCGTGGCCAAGGACTGGGCCACGGTGGAGACGAGAACTGGCCGAGAAACAATGATGAATGTCGCGAGGATCAGTAGAAAGACCACAATTGGGTGCTTAATGCTCTGTCAGCTCGTTGCCGCCTCTTATATGTTCCTACGATTATCTACCTTGAAACACAGCGACAACAAACTGGTCTATCGTAGCTATTTCCCATACAATGCAAGCATCAGCCCAAGCTACGAGCTGACGATGATTGGCCAAGTTATGGCTGGTGCATACGGAGCTTTGACATACACATCCGTGGACACGTTTATCGCTATGCTGGTCTTGCACGCTTGTGGGCAGCTGTCAAATCTGAAGGATGACTTGAGGAACATTCATTCGTGTGATAGGAAGGATTTGCAAGCGAGTTTGAAGAAAATTGTTGAGAAGCACAATTATATTATTGAGTACGTATTGAAGCTAAATTGCGAACAGAAGTGTACAAAATCTTTTGAGAAATCTCGGAAGATGTTGCAAATATAAAAGATACAATAGGTACAAAATGTGGACTCTAATAGAGAGTAAAAATCTCTTGTTAAAGAGCGATTTTCCAAAGCCACTACATGTTCGCACAAAGTTCATTCTATTTATATACGATTAATAATAAATAATTATTTTATACTTGGCAATTTAATTTTTTTAATGTAAATTAGACTGTAAATTTTTGGCAATTTTCATTTTTATGGACAGAAGATCATTTTTTATGACGTTCTTGAGCCAGTATCTTAAAAAGTATTTTCACTTAAAAATTCTTAATATAATAAATTTCATTTATATTCATATATATTCATTTCATTAAATATGTATTTATGCATTCAGAATTAATCTTTAATTAGAAAAGATAAATTTTTCAATGATTTTTTAATTACGCTATATGTACGTTTAAGGTTCGCAGAAACAGTAGAAAATTGTTTCAACGTAATGCTTCTGATTCAAATGCTCGGTTTCACCGTTCAACTATGCTTCCAGTCTTTTCAAGCGATCACGGTACGAAAAAAGAATTATACATTTTCTTAAATTTATATCGTACAAAATATTATAAAATAACATATGTTTTATTAATTTAATTTAATTGATAGTCATTTGGGGACAAATCAGAGCGATTCATGATATTCCAAATCATATTTCTCGTTATCTATATAGCATGTGTGATGGTGCAATTATATCTGTATTGTTACGTGGGTGAAAGACTTATGTTGGAGGTATTACTCGTGAGAGAAAAATTTGTCACCGTTTTTCTAATAAAAATTTGGATATTTAGATTTAGGTACTAGAGAATTTAGACACGCTGATAATTTGAACATGTTTTTTTAGAGTATGGATGTAGCTAACACAGCGTACAATTGCGAATGGTATAGTCTACCTCCAAAAGACGCAAGACTACTTATAATTATTATGTGTCGAGCTAGAACATCACCGCTAAAAATTACAGCAGGAAAATTTTGCTGGTTTAGTGTGCAGCTATATTCTCAGGTAAATAAAGCGAATTACACGATACGTGGATATAATTTTCAGTGAAATCATCCTTCTAATCCCACGAAAATCGTTATCCTGAAGATTTGCTCATAAAATACAGTTCATTTGATTTGAGTGATTTTAATTTGCAATGTATTACCAGTTTTTATAGAAGAATCTGGAAGAAATATTTAGCATATAAAATATCCGTATTTTATAGAAGAAACATTTAGCATGTAAAGCATGTTAAATGTTCCTTCCATCCAATCACTTTTTATAGAAGAAACAATTAGCATATAAAATATTCGTAATCGTATATTGTAGGTCATGAAAGTAATCGAGCATTCATAAAGAAAGAATTCTTATCTCTTCTTTTCTTTTTTTTTAAATATATACTTGTACTCTAATGTCTAGTAACTTTTATATATAATATTTATGCTGTATCACATTATAAAATTTAATTTAATATTTATAAGTAATTAAATTCCAAAGTATTTTTAAAGCACATGTAAATAATATTCCATAAATAGCCGAATACTCTCGACAACAATATTTTTGTATGTTTCAGGTCCTGAAAACCACGATGTCGTACATTTCAGTTTTGCACGCAACGAAAAGTTAATAAAACGACAATTCCATAATTATGATTCTTATTTGAAGACATATTCCATTTCGATAGTACAAATACCATGAAAGGAATATTTTAGTATTCATCTACACTTCGCAGAGATAAAACATAAAGTGGCGTATTCAACAATTAACAATCGCTGAAAATAATAAAGCTATCATAAAGGTTAACGAGATCTTCTCTGAACAAATATTTCTCGCGAAGTCTCAAAAATATCATTTCTCCATCCTTCCACTTCCTTTACACTTCTCACATTCATAATAATTGGCTCGGTGAAGTAAAATGAAAATGAATAAATTGAAAAAACGAATGAAGAATTAACAAACGCAGAAATAACAAATTCATAGAACAACGGAAATTTAAGTATACAACTCACATTCTGTGGAAATTCCAATGATATTTCTTCTGTCAGTTTCTTCATCGTCCATGAACTACCATAAGTCACTGAAAGGAAAAGATATAATTCAAAAATATCTGTTTGAAAACAACAAAAAAGATAAAGATATTAATATCACTAAACTTTTATAGTATATACAAACAAGTATAAAAATACGTGATATGTCGCTATATTTTGTACATAACTGTTTAAAAATATTTAGGTACATCTCATTTTTAGTATTACGTAAGAATATTTTCAAGCTTCATTTCTATTTCGTAATACGACTTTTTTTACACGTACACATATAAACTTAATTCTTATAAATTGCATTTTTATGTAAAATCTTTCGTTCGATGGTCGGGCCGGCGAATAACTTCTAAATTCTAAAACACTGGCATCACCATCTAATCGATATATAACTATTTTCTTCGCGAAGCGATGAACATTTTCTTTCACTTGCAAGTTCTGATGTAAGTTCATGGAAAGAAAGTTAACACGGACTAACAATGTTGAGAAACCGCAAGTTCTTCGCTTATTGCTTTCGTACCCTAGTCAAGATCATAAATAATTACCCGCGACTAATAACACACTTGTGGCAACTCAGACGTGCAACTGAGAACGACACCGTGCTACCCTATTCACAAATAATTGATGACATCTCCGCATTGTGAATGCGAAATAAGGGCATGCGCTGAGAGGAACAATGAAGTGACATTCGAATCGCGTGAGAACAGTCATTCGCAAATTGATCGTCATGGATGTCCAACGAGGTAACCTTACGCATTGACCAATAGATAGTTTCAATCGCTCAGAACAAATAAGCAAATGAATAAATATTTAAGTAAAGTCAATACGAAGTTTAATAAAAGAAAAAGGAAAATTTGATTTATCAAGAAATGAATACGTTATATTTTATCGGGTGATTTTATACATATCGTTGATTTCTGTATTCTAGATGAAGGTGAGAAATTGGTTGATTGGAAATTATTTAATGTCAAATGTTCGATATTAATTCTCTTATCTCGTATTAAATTTTCTATCATTACTCTACGAAACTCTCACAAATTAAATACAATTCTCAGAAAAATCCTTGCTTTCTGTAGTTCAAAATTATTCTTTTAACCCATAGGTAGTATTATACGATCACAGTAATTTGGCTACAGTAATTTTCATTATGTTAGGAAAATGTGAAATATTTCATTTTACTTTGTCTTTTATATTCTATTTAATGGAGATTAACGATACAATGAAATCAATTTAACAGTGTGAGACACAATAAATAAAAGTCACGTTTTTACATAATATCGCGGATAAAGAAAATATTCCTAATTATTTGATTCTCCATCGATAACAGATCTGAACTACCAGTTGGGTTGGAACCGTTACTTAATGAAGTACGTGGGTATCTGGCCGAAAGAGAGGAAATGGAACCAGCTTTCGAGTTACGTCGTCCTGTTACCATCTCTCACGATGCTGTGTTTCGTGTGTGCTCCACAAACCGCCAATTTGCCGTTCATAGCGCACGACTTGAATCTGGTGGTCGAGAATTTATCGATGGGTAACATGATCGCCTCGATTGCACTCGTGAAGACCATAATTTTTTGGACAAATAGCGAATGTAAGAAATCTCAAGATTTAACCACGTTACACTTTTTTCGTATACTATCAATTACACTTTTTTCGTATACTATCAATTTTAAACGTACATCAAAGACTTTCGTGTTTTATTATGAACACAAGAATTAATATGGACATGGCTATACCAAGTATACTCTTTCATTCATTTTTTATACTTAATTTCGTTTATTGACGAAAATGCATATTAAAGGATATTGGAGTTTTATACTAACGTCCCAGAAAACTACGTTATATGTGACTGGTTTGCGAAAAAAAATAGAGTAACCTCCTAGCGAGCAAAGTATAGATATTGTATAGGTAGAAGTAATTAACGAACTAAAAATACTCTTGCAAACAGCAGAATGAAAAATCTTCTATTGTCACACGAAATAAACATTCTATCTGCTATTTTCTCCATTTGAAAGCAATGACGTCTCTACTGAAGTGCATGGCCAAGGACTGGGCTACGGTGGAAACAAGCACCGGACGAGAAACAATGATAAACGCCGCGAAGATGAGTAGAAAGACCACGATAGGGTGTCTAATGCTGTGTCAGCTCGTATCTACCTCTTACGTGTTCCTACGATTATCTACCTTGAAACACAGCGACAACAAACTGGTCTATCGTAGCTATTTCCCTTATAATGTAAGCATCAGCCCAAGCTACGAGCTGACGATGATTGGCCAAGGTATGGCTGGTATATACGCAGCTTTGACATACACATCCGTGGACACGTTTATCGTTATGCTGGTCTTGCACGCTTGTGGGCAGCTGTCAAATATGAAGGACGACTTGAGGAACATTCATTCGTGTGATAGGAAGGATTTGCAAGCGAGTTTGAAGAAAATTGTTGAGAAGCACATTTACATTACTGTGTACGTATTGAAGCTAAATTGCGAACAGAAGTGTACAGAATCTTTTGACAAATCTCGAAAGATGTCGAAAATGTATAAAAGATACAAAAGGTACAAAATGTAGATTCTAGTAAAGAGTAAAAATATCTTGTTAAAGAGCGAAAAATCAATTTGCAAAAGCCACTTCATGTTCGCACAAATTCTATTTATTCTATTTATATACGGTTAATAGTGAATAATTATTTTACATCTGGCAACTTAATTTTTTTAATGTAAACTAGACTGTGAATTTTTGCGCAATTTTTATTTTTATGAATGGATGGTCATTTTTTATGATGCCCTTGAATCAGTATCTCGAAAAATATTTCCAATTATAAATTCTTCATATAATAAATTTTATTTATATTTATTTATACTCATTTCATTGTATATGCAATTTATGCATTCAAAATTAATCTTTGATTAGAAAAGACCCGTAGGTAAATTTTTCAATGATTTGTTAATTACGTTATATGCACGTTTAAGGTTCGCAGAAACAGTAGAAAATTGTTTCAACGTAATGCTTCTGATTCAAATGCTCGGTTTCATCATTCAAGTATGCTTCCAGTCTTTTCATACGATCACGGTACGGAAAAAGAATTATACTTTTTCTTAAATTTATATCGAACAAAACATTATAAAATGACATATCTTTGTTTAATTTAATTTAATTGATAGTCATTTGGGGACAAATCAGAGCGATTCATGATATTCCAAGTAATATTTCTCGTTACCTATACAGTATGTTTGATGGTGCAATTATATCTATATTGTTACGTGGGTGAAAAACTTATGCTGGAGGTATTACTCGTGAGAGAAAAATTTGTCACCGTTTTTCTAATAAAAATTTGGATATTTAGATTTAGGTACTAGAGAATTTAAATACGCTGATAATTGAACATGTTTTTTAGAGTATGGATGTAGCTAACACAGCGTACAGTTGCGAATGGTACAGTCTACCTCCAAAAGACGCAAGACTACTTATAATTATTATGTGTCGAGCTAGAGCATCACCGTTGAAACTTACAGCAGGCAAATTTTGTTGGTTTACTGTGCTGTTATATTCCCAGGTGAGTAAAAACGAATTACATGATATAAGGATACAATTTTCAGTGAAATCATTTTCCTGATCCCACGAAAATCGTCATCTTGAACATTTGGTCATAAATTACAGTTCATCTGATTTACGTGATTTGAATTTGTAATGTATTATTAATGTTTACAGAAGAATTTAGAAAAACCATTTAGCATATAAAATATCGATATTTTATAGAAGAAACATTTAGCATGTAAAGTATGTTAAATATTCCTTCCGTCTATGCAATTTTTATACAAGAAACAATTAGCATATAAAATATTCATAATCGTATATTATAGCTCACGAAAGTAATCGAGCATTCATAAAGAAAGAATTCTTTTCTTTTCTTTTCTCTTTTTTTTAAATATATACTTGTACTCTAATGTCTAGTAACTTTTATATATAATATTTATGCTGTATCACATTATAAAATTTAATTTAATATTTATAAGTAATTAAATTTCAAAGTATTTTCAGAGCACATGCAAATACAATTCCATAAATAAGTCGAATACTCTCGACAGCAAAATTTTTGTATGTTTCAGGTCCTGAAAACCACGATGTCGTACATGTCTGTTTTACACGCAACGAAAAGTTAATAAAACGACGATTCCATAATTATGATTCTTATTTCAAGACATATTTTATTTCGATAGTACAAATACCTTGAAAGGAATATTTTAGTTTTCATCTACACTTTGTAGAGATAAAACATAAAGTGGCGTATTCAACAATTAACAACCGTGGAAAGTAATAAAGCTACCATAAAGATTAACGAGATATTCCCTGAGTGAATACTCTCTTCCCGCGAATTCTCAAAAATATCATTTCTCCATCCTTATATTCCTTTACATTTCTCACGTTCACAATATTTGGCTGGGTGAAATAAAATGAAAATGTATAAATTGGAAGAACGGATGAAGAATTAATAAACACAGAAATAACAAATTCATAGAACAGAGGATATTTAAGTATAGAACTCACACTCCATGGAAATTCCATTGCATCCAGCGATGTTTCTTTTGTCAGTTTTTTTCTGGCCCATAAACCGCCATATGTCACTAAGAAGAAAAATGATGTAAAAATATCTATTTCATACCAACAAAACGATAAATATATTATCATTAACGCAACAGACTTTTGTAGTATATATACAAACAAGTATAAAAATACTTAATATGTGGCTACATTCTGTACATAACTACTTAAAAATATTTAGGTACGACTCATTTTTAGTATTACATAAGAATATATTCAAGTTTCAATTCTATTTTAGAATACGATTTTTTGTACACATACATAATCTTAATTCTTATAAGTTGCATTTTTATGTAAAATATCTTTCGTCTGGTGGTCGGGCCCACGAATAATTTCGAAATTCTAAAACACTGACTTTCATTTTCTAATCGGTATTAAACTATTTTCTTCGCGAGGCGATGAACATTTTCTTTCGCTTGCAAGTTCTGATGTACATTTATGGAAAGAAACATAACACAGACTAACAATGTTGAGAAACCGCAAGTTCTCCGCTTATCGCCCTCGTACCCTGGTCAAGGTCATGAATAATTACGAACGAATAATAACAGACTTGTAGCAACTCAAACGTGCAACTGAGAACGACATCGAGCTACCCTATTCACAAATAATTGATGACATCTGCGCATTGTGAATGCAGAATAAGGGCATGCGCTGACAAGAACAATGAAGTAACATTCGAATCGCGTGAGTCCAGTCATGCGAAAATTGATCGTCATGGACGTCCAACGAGGTAACCTTACGCAGTAACGAATAGATAGTTTCAATTGTTCAGAACAAATAAGCAAATGAATAAATATTTAAGTAAAGTCAATACAAAATTTAAAAAAAGAGAAAGGAAAATTGAATTTATCAGGAAATGAATACGTTATATTTTATTGGATAGTTTTGCATATATCGTTGATTTCTGTATTGTAGGCGAAGGTGAGAAATTGATTGATAGAAATTTTCTAATGTCAAATTTTCGATTTTATTTTCTTATCTCGTATTAAATTTTCGATCACTACTCTACGAAACTCTCACAATTAAATACAATTTTGCAGAAAAATCTTTCCTCTTTATAGTTCAAAATTATTCTTTTAACCCACAGGTAGTATACGATCACAGTAATTTGGCTACAGTAATTTTCATTATATTACGAAAATGTGAAATATTTCTCTTTACTTTGTCTTTTATATTCTACTTAATGGAGATTAACGATAAAATGAAATCAATTTAACAGTGTGAGACACAATAAATAAAAGTCACGTTTTTACATAATATCGCAGATAAGAAAGAAAATATTCCTAATTATTTGATTCTCCATCGATAACAGATCTGAACTACCAGTTCGGTTGGAACCGTTACATAATGAAGTACGTGGGTATCTGGCCAGAAGAGAGGAAATGGAACAAACCTTCGAGTTATATCGTTCTGCTACCGTCTCTCGCGATGCTGTGTTTCGTGTGTGGTCCGCAAACTATTAATCTGCCCTTCATCGCACATGACCTGAATCTGGTCGTCGAAAATCTATCGATGGCTAACATGACTATTACGATTTCGCTCATGAAGACTGTGGCTTTTTGGATGAATGGCAAATGTAAGAATCTCATTATCACACAAGCTGTATCCAATTTTGACAGAGATTACAAAATGTCTTTATTTTTTCTAAGCTAGTTCAGTTCACAAGTCACAAAAAATGAAATTTCTAGATCTGTGGAATCTCAAATTTTAGGTGAATGTTGTAATATAATATCATGGTAACATGACTGTAATATAATAATACTTTTGTCGAACAGTGTAATTAAACTAAATTTATTTTTACAAAAATACAGGGTGGTCACTGAAAGACTGAATGATATAAAACAAATATAATTTTTTTACAAACACATGTTTTCTAAATTTTTTATTATTTTACTTGGAAATATAATTAATGGATTTTTCTCAGTATTATGTGCGAGAAAAACATAATAAATAACAATAATAAAATAACCATTACACATTATACATGACTTCTTCAAACCCTTCAGTTTTTCAGTGGCCACCCTCTATCAGGAAAGATTTTATTATTACACGAAACAGAAGTTTTGAGATATATTCTTTTATCGTTCTTTTCTTTTGCAAGCATTGAAGTCTCTGCTGATGTGCATGGCCAAGGACTGGGCCGCGGTGGAGATGAAAACCAAGAGGGAAACAATGGTGAACATTGCGAGGATCACCAGAAAGACAACGATTAGGTGCTCGATGATGTGCCAACTAGTATTCGTCTGTTACGTGTCCCTTCGATTACTATCCATGAAATATGACGACAACAAACTATTCGTACGCGGCTATTACCCTTACGACGTGACCATCAGCCCGAATTACGAGCTGACAATGATTGGCCAAGTCATTGCTGGTATATACGGAGCTGTGACGTTTCCAGCTGTGGACACATTTATCGCCACGTTGGTTCTACATGCCTGCGGGCAGCTTTCGAATTTAAAGAACGATTTGAGAATGATTCATTCGTACGATAAAAAGGATGTACAAACGAAGCTGAAGAAAATTGTCCAGGAGCACAATTACATTAATAGGTTCGTATTGAAGAGAAATTATCAACAGTCAGTTAATTGGGAAAATTTTTCTTTAAGAAGATCCGAAAGGTCTACGATGGTAGAAATTGTACAGAATGTAGATTATATAGATTGTATAGACAATGGTAGTTGTTGTAGACTTAACTTGATTCAGAAATTGAATTAGAATTGAATCAGAAATTTGTTTATTTTTGAATCTTGAAACATTACTCTATCTGAAATTATCGATCTGCAAAATTAATCAAGATAACTTTTTGTCGTTCATTTCCGATGAAATTCATGTGTGAATATCTTGAAAAATTGACAACCAGAATATTCTCAACTGCGAATTCTGATCAAACAAAAGCAATTGAAAAGCAATTGAAAAATCTCGCTGACGAGAAGAAATTTTCCTAATTCCAAAAGATTAATTAGTAATTCCAATATTTATGTATTTATTTATTATTTACTATTAGAAATTTAACACTATTGTCGCTAAATCATTATTATTCACCTATCGATATTTAAAATACCTTATCGTACATAACCTTATCGTTATTTAAAATTTATTAATTTACATACTTATGCATTTAACGATTAATTCGACCTTTAATTGGGAAAGACTCGTAAATAAATTTTTTCTAACATCTATTAATTATACCACCAAGGTTTGCCGAAACGATAGAAAATAGTTTCAACCTGCTGCTTTTGTTTCAAATGCTCGGCTGCACCGTTCAACTATGCTTCCAGTCATTCCAAGCCATCATGGTACGAAAAGAAATTATACGTTTCACGAAATTTGCTTTTGAACAAAGAGAGAATATTATAGAATGGTTCGTCCTTTTCACCATAACTTAATTTATAGTCAGTCGGAGAGAAGACTGAGCAATACATGATTTTCCAAATTACATTTCTGTGTTACTACGTGGTCTGCGCGATGGTGCAATTGCTCCTCTACTGCTACGTGGGAGAGAGACTTGCGTTCGAGGTATCGAAAGAGGAATCAACCAGTTCATTAATTTTCTGATAAAAAATTTCGACCTTAGTATCGACATTGGACATGGGTACTAATTATTTATTAATAAGCTGAAACACGTATTGAAGTTTACAATTTCTCAGAGTACAGATGTAGCTGAAACAGCATATCATTGCGAATGGTACAATCTATCCCCTGAGATTGCAAGACTGCTTATTATTATTATGTGTCGAGCGAGAGCATCACCGCTGAAGATCACAGCAGGCAAATTTTGTTGGTTCACTGTGTCATTGTACTCCCAAGTAAGTAGAAACAAATTTCAACACAATACACGGACAGGGTTTTCCTTTCAACTTTAAGAAAATCGCGAGCCTCATTTAAGTGGTTTTAATTTAAACATAATACATATTTTTAGGAATTGTGATCACATTTGAAAACACAGTTGAAAGATCACAATTGGAAAATGTTCAATTTCTTTAAAATATTTAGATAAAAATAAAATATTATATATAATATAATATAATTATATATTATTATACTATTATTATAATTATTATAATTATTATATATTATACTATTATTATAATTATATATTATTATATTACTATAATTATGTATATTGATTATATAATAAGTAATATATAATATACGTTATATGCATTATAAAATATTATATACATAATCACGTGCTTCGTAGCTCCTACGAATTTTTCGAATAATTTCAAATGTAATCCTTGTTTAACAAATAAATTTATACAATTATAAAAAAGTAATGCATGTTTCAGGTTCTGAAAAGCTCAGCGTCGTACATATCCGTTCTATACGCGACGAGAAGTTAACACAGAAACGCAATTATGATTTTATAACATGCTTTACATGTCTGTTACTTCGATGCACAAATACCGATGGAAGAAACATATCTGCTATCTACATATATCTCTACTATGCTTCGCCGAAATAAATAACGTGTTGAACAATCGTGGAAAATAAATTCCTCGAGAGAAAGCCTTGAAAATATTCTTTTCTTTCCACTTACATCTCGATGTCTTTTCTTTGGAAACTCCAAGCGAGAAATCTAACGTCAACACAAGTGAGAAATCTAACGTCACAGGTATGTAACAAGCGAGAAATCTAACGTCAACACAAGTGAGAAATCTAACGTCACAGGTATGTAACATTATGAAAATAATTAAAAAACTGAATAAACTGCAGAATTAGATTGACAACTTATATAAATGTGAATTTAATAAACGACAAATTTGATGAAATCAAACAAAATATCGAAGTATAAAACTTACATTTTCGAGAAATTCCACTACTTCCAATGTCTTTTCTTTTGGTTAATTTATTCGCCATCTTCGTATCACCACTGATCAACTTTCACGTCTCTGAAACAAAAAAACATAAGATGTTAATATCAGTAGCAGACATTCGTTCAATAATATAGATGCACAATATTACGTGGTTCATTGCGTTTACACACACTTGTAGCGTATGATGAAAGATTCACGTAACATAAAATTCTGAAATTACGTATGTACAACCTAACGGCAAAGTGTAATGGAAAAAAGTCTGATTGATCCGTATATTATATTATTAACACATCAAGAACGTTAATATCACAATACAGTACACACCACAAGTATTAGTACCACATCACATCACAAGTATTAGTATCACTACATAACAACGCATTTAAAAACCATTGCAAGAAAAGTAATAAAATTTTACATTTTATATGAAAGTATATATTTAATATTTCATAATATACTTCGTACCTCAATTCAAATAGCGCAACCTATAGTTCATAAACTACAGACGTCAAATCTCATAAAATTTCTTAATATTGTATTAACCATTTACACAAATTTCCAATGCGACATTGACGTTCAGCAACAATTATACTTGTAACTAGTAGTGAGTTATTTTCTCTATCAGCTGAAATTTCTTTTACCGACAAACTTTGATGCACATTTATAAGAGAGATACTATAGACTAACAAGATGAAAAAGAAGCAAAATGTCCCTTTCTTCTTTTCCCCCTTATTAGTCATACGTCCAACGAGAGCATAAATAATTACAAACGAAAACTTCTGTCAACGAAACTTCGACTGTAACATTCAGTCCAAGCATACAATTGAAAACGACGCCGATCTATCCTTTTCATGAATAGTTGATGACATTCGCACGATAAACGGCATGCGCTGAGAAGAACAGAAAAGTTGTTTTCCAATATGAGAACAGTCATCGGAAAACTGGCCATCATGGACATTCAACGAGGTAACTTCTCGCCTTAAGTGATAGAATGCTCATACAAATAAAGCGGTATTTACAGAAATTTTCGTTTCAAAATCGGAATTGTTAAAAATAAATAAATATGTGAAAGAAAAATAAGTGAATTAAAAAAGATAGTGCAAAAGGAAATAAAAATTACATTTTAAATTAATATTATATACAATAATTTGTTGCGTGGTCCCATAAATTGATTTTTTATTGACCAATTTTTTAAATTCTCCTATACATAAATAATTCTTTATCTTCTGGTGTCAAGTTTCCCGTTACAATGTTGCAAATTTGTCATAATAACAGTTTTCATTATTTTAAATAGAACTTTCAGGGAAGTTATACTCTGTGTAAGATGATGAGTTATTTCTTGAAGTATAAAATTACCTTCAATCCCAAGTAATATTACAAAGTCGAAAGTGATTTTTATTTTATAACTACATAAATTAAAAATATTTAATTTTATTTTGAATTTTAAGTTTTCATTGATATAGTTTAGTATATAAAGCTTCCAATAATAAATCTAAAATTTAGCAATCTGAGCTTCTATGATCCTCATTGTTCAATCATTTCAGAAGATAATGAAGGTGATGAACAATCATTTAAGAAATGTGGATTTAAAAGTGAATTTTAAAAATCAAATTCATATTTTTTTAATAATAATATATGTACACAATAGAATAAATAATGTGCACTTTAATTTACGATTTAGAATTACTTTTAGATAGCTATTAATGATAAATTTGAAGTAAAATGAGCAGGTGATACATTGTATGCAGGTGATATAATGTATTTCATGTAAAATAAAATTATATTTTTAAATAATATTTAGGATAAGAAAGGAAATATTGTATTCAATGATTGCAGTCTCCAGTGATTTTTTAAACGTTTATCTCTGTTAGATTTGAATTACCAGTACGGATGGAACCGTAGTATAATGAAGTATATAGGTATTTGGCCAGAAGAAAGGAAATGGAACCGACCTTCGAGTTATGTCGTTCTGATACCGTTTCTCACGATGCTGTGTTTTGTGTATGCACCACAAACTATTAATCTGCCCTTCATTATACATGACTTGAATCTCGTGGTCGAGAACTTATCGATGGTTACTATCACTTTCACGATTTCGCTTATGAAGATTATGACCTTTTGGATGAATGGAAAATGTAAGAATATTATGATATTACTGTACGCAATTTTATCCGAAGATGGAATTTTTGAAGATTGTTTAACAGAGATTATAGAATACTGTAATTCTACACATTTTCTTAACAACGAGTATAATATCGCGAGACAAATATGTTGTTTGAAATTTCCAGATCTCTGGTACCTTAACTTTTCGATGAACTTTTATAACATTCTTCGATGAATAACGTAATTAAGAAACCAAACATATTTTTACACAAATAAAACAAAGAGCATTCAATTTTATGAAAAAATTTTCTCAAGACATACTCTATCCGCCATTTTTTTTTTTTTTTATTTGCAAGCATTGAGGTCTCTGCTAAAGTGCATAGCTAAAGACTGGGCTACAGTGGAGACGAAAACCGGACGAGAAACAATGATCAACATTGCGAGGATGTCGAGAAAGATCATAATAGGATGTTCAATGATGTGCCAACTAGTAGTCGCCTTGTACGTGATTCTACGATTAATTTTCATGAAATACGACGATAACAAAATGTTCGTACGTGGCTATTATCCGTACGATACAACCGTAAGCCCAAATTATGAATTGACTTTGATTGGTCAAGCCATAGCTGGTACATATAGCTGCGTCATATACTCATCTGTGGACAGTTTTATCGCTATGCTGATTTTACATGCATGTGGACAAATATCGAATCTGAAGAATGATTTAAAGGAAATTCATTCGTACGACAAAATTGATTTACGGACGAAGTTGATGAAAATCGTTGAAAAGCATAATTATATCAATAGGTTCGTATTGAAAGAAAATTATTAATTGCTGAGAGGTGAATGTTTTCTCGATTTTTTTCGAAGAAGACCCGAAGGCTTTTGCCGAAGATGGTAACAAAAATGCAAAATATAGATTATAATAAGTTTAAAAATGTGGATTGTAATAAGTCAAAAGTAAAAGAGCTAAAAAATAATTTTCAAAATTTAAATCCTTTTATGTTCGTATGTTGCAAACTTGATTTCATATTAATTACAATAAAGAAACGTGAAAAATAAATAATCATTTTACGCCGACTATTTCAAATTATCATTATTATTTACTTCTATCTGAACAATATTAACTCATGCATTCACGCAGTTAAAGGATAAGTTCATGTTTAATTCAGGAAGATTCCGATGTAAATTCTAATATTTATTAATTATATTATAAGGTTTGCTGAAACGATAGAGAATTGTTTCAACATAATGCTCCTGATTCAAATGCTTGGTTGCACCGTTCAACTATGCTTCCAGTCTTTCCAAGCGATTATGGTAAATATTTTTCTTTACATTTACGTTTACACAAAAGAAGAATTTTACAAAATAATTCATCTTTTTCAATATAATTTAATTTATAGTTAGATGAAGGAAAGAGTGAGCAATACATAATTTTCCGAATTACATTCATATTTTACTATGTAGTTAGCGTGATGATGCAAATGCTGCTGTACTGTTACGTGGGCGAAAGACTTACATTCGAGGTACCGTTTATGAAAGAGAAATTAATCAGTTGAAATTAGTCACTTCTCTCATAAAAATTTGGGTTTTACTATGTCGATATTAGATGTCGATTTATTAATAACATACATTAAAGTCTGCAATTTTCCAGAGTACAGAAATAGCTGAAACAGCATATGAATGCGAATGGTACAATCTACCACCTGAGATCGCAAGATTACTTATAATTATTATGTGTCGAGCGAGAGCGTCACCGTTGAGACTCACTGCAGGCAAATTTTGTTGGTACACTATACTATTGTACTCCCAGGTAAGTAAAAGTGAATTTCAATACAATATATGCGGACAGAATTTCCAATGGAATCTTCCTTCTAATCCAACGAAAGTTTCGATCATAAATTAAAATATACTTGATCTGACTGATTTTAACTTATAATACACTACAAACTTTTATGGACGAGATATAATTACATGGAAATGTTCAATTTTCTTAAAACATCGTAAAAATATGGTATTCCTAATCAAGTAGTGTAGCTCACGAAAGCAAACGCTTTTCAGAAACGAATCTGTATACATATATTGCTATTTTGTATTATATAAAACATTTAGAAATTTCAATATCATTGTAAAAAAAAAAGAAGACAAATTTCGTGATTATATTGAAACGAGTATGAAAATATACACAGGAATTTATTCATTTATTGTGTAAGTGTTATTTAGTTTAAACATAAAGAAAGAATTAAAGTTTTACATTAGAAAGAGAAATTTCAAGATAATGCACGTAATATTTTCATAATATAAATTCTATAAATCATTTGAATCAGTTTCAAGGGAAATCTTGTATATTTCAGGTTGTGAAGACCTCAGTGTCGTATGTTTCTGTTTTATACGCAATAAAAAGTTAACAGAAAGGGGATCCTATAATTACGATACTTCAATACTTTCAACTGATCATCGTTTCGATAGAACAAATAACATAGAACCATATTACTATCTATCTTTAAATGATGAACTATACTCCGTAGAAATAAAAAAAAAATAAAGTGTCGTGAACAATTAAGAGTCGTAGAAAATAACAAACCTATTAAATGATGATTTCTCGCGAAATCTCGAAAATATCTTTTGCATCTCGATATTTTCTCGTTTTATTGAGACTTCAAGTTCGTTTGTTGTTCAGGAGCAATTTGTATACACGCTATCGATGAGCATCTAAGCCTAATTTATAATACATTAGCGATCATGTCACGTTAAGTCAAACATTAGTCAGTATCGTTCACACGCGATCCAATAAAACATTTATTTATGTTTGAATTTATATGATCCGATAGTGCGTACCTTAAAGAAATTTTAGACAAAGCAAACAGAAAATTCGAGACAGATTAGAAAAATTTATATGAAATCGTTTGTGAAATTCCGTGAAAGTAAAGAATATCACGTGAGAAGCCAAAACACATGTTTAATACCAATAGTATAAAAAAAACTAGAAAGATTGAATAAATTGAAGGTGTAAATTGATAACGAATATACAAATTGCATAAACGACAAATTTCATGCAATAAATGAAATTGGAGTATAAAACTTACATTTTATAGAAATTCCACTCCTAGTGACATATTTCTTTCGTTCACATCATCTTCGTGTCATTGCTTCATGTCCCTGAAAGGAAAAAAATATAGGATATTAAATTTTAGAATAATAAAGTCGATGATGTTAATATTAGTAATAAATCATCAAACTTTCTACATACATAAAAAATAACATAGAAGTATAAGAATACTTCTGCAACACAAGTAAAAGACTGCTACAATATAAACTTTTTCAACTACAGTACATATTAACCACAAAATATGAAAGAAGAAAGTCTGATCAATTCATATGTTATTAATATATCAAGATTTTTAATATTGCAACACAGCACATCACATCACAATTATTAGTATCACTATATAACCAGGCATATAAAAACATTCTATGAGAAGTAATAAAATTTTATATTTTAACAAAATTATATATTTAATATTTTATAATATATTTCATATTTCAAATCAAGCAGCACAACCTGTAGTTCATAAACTACAGGCGTCAAAATTAAACCTGTAGTTCATAAACTACAGGCGTCTCATAAAATTTCTCAATATTGTATTAACCATTTACACAAATTCCCAATGCGACATTGACATTCAGCAACAATTATACTTGTAACTAGTAGTGAGTTATTTTCTCTATTAGCTGACATTTCTTTTACTGGTAAACTTTGATGCACATTCATGGGAGAGGTACTATAGATTAACAAGATAAAGAAGAAGCAAAATGTCCTTTCTTTTTGCCCGCTTATTAGTCATACGTCCAACGAGAGCATAAATAATTACAAACGAAAACTTCTGCCAACGAAACTTCGACATTGTAACATACAGTCCAAGCATACAATTGAAAACGACGTCGATCTACCCCGTTCATGAATAGTTGATGACATTCGCACGATAACTGCATGCGCTGAGAAGAACAGTAAAGTTGCTTTCGAATATGAGAACAGTCATCGGGAAACTGGCCATCATGGACATTCAACGAGGTATCATCTCGCCTTAAGTGATAGAATACTCTTACAAATAAAGCGGTATTTACAGAAATTTTTGTTTCAAAATCAGAATTGTTAAAAGTAAATAAATATGTGAAAGAAAAATAAGTGAATTAAAAAAGATAGTGCAAAAGGAAATAAATATTACATTTTAAACTAACATTATACACAACGGATAAATAATTTGTTGCGTGGTCCCATAAATTGATTTTTTATTCACTAATTTTTTATTCTAAAAGCTTAGGTGCTGGAAATTGAGTAGCGACAAATTCTCCTATAATTCTTTTATAGGAGAATTTATAATAGTTTATAATTCTTTACTTTCTGGTGTTAAGTTTCCTGTTACAATGTTGCAAATTTTTTATAATAACAGTTTTCATTATTTTAAATAGAACTTTCAAGGAAGTTATATTCTGTGTAAGATGATGAGTTATTTCTTGAAGTATAAAATTACCTTCAATTCCAAATAGTATTATAAGGTCGAAAGTGATAGTAATTTTTATTTTATAACTACATAAATTAAAAATATTTGATTTTATTTTGAATTTAAAATTTTCATTGATATAGTTTAGTAATAAAGCTTCAAGTAATAATTTCAAAATTTAGCAACCTAAGCTTCTATCATTCCCGATATCTAATGGAGTTGAACAATGATTCAAGGAATACAGATTCAAAGTAAAAAAATCCAATTTATATTTTTTTAACAATAATATATGTACACAAAAATTCAAATAACGTGCATTTTACGCCACGATGGAGAATTAGTTTTAAATTACTATTAAATATAAATTTGAAGTAAAATAAGTGGTTTAAAATTGATAGATGATGCTAACATGAAATCATATTATTATTATTACCTCACGTGAAATTATATTATTAAATAATAGAGATAAGAAAGGAAATACCGTGCATTAAATTACTACACTCTATATTGATTTTTTTTAAACGTTTATCTCTATTAGATTTGAATTACCAATACGGATGGAACCATAGCATAATGAAGTACGCAGGTATCTGGCCAGAAGAGAGGAAATGGAACCGACCGTCAAGTTACGTCGTTCTGATACCGTTTCTCACGATGCTGTGTTTCGCATGTGCCCCACAAACTATTAATCTGCCCTTCATTATACATGACTTGAATTTGGTGGTGGAGAATTTATCGAATAACGTCACTTTCACGCTTTCGCTTATGAAAACCGTAGTTTTCTGGATGAATGGCAAATGTAAGTATTTCATGATATCACCTTATAAATTACATCTAATTTTATCTAAATATGGAATTTACCAAGGGACTCTACCAGTATATTACAGTTTTATACATTATCATTTTCTAAACAACAAATTTAACTTCTTGCACTGGCAACTAATTGCGGACCATAACGAGTGGCCAAATCCGTACAGTACAATAATTTGTCGCTTTATTTTTCTTTTGTAGTTCTCAGTATGATATCATTGGATAGAAATTACTGAGAAGTAATAAGTTTATTATTTGCTTTGCCTGAGTTATACTTAAATATACTTAAAACTGAGAAAATATTGCAATTTTGGAACAAAAAGTTCTCCTCGGCGTGCGTGGCACGTCATTCCAGCGCAAGAGGTTGATGTCACGTAATAAAAAGGAAACATATGTCGTATGTAATTACCAAATCTGAAACCTATACTTTTGTAATATTAATAAAATAATTAAAAAGCTAAATATATTTCTATACACATAATAGGAAAAATTTTCTCAAGACTTATTATATCCGCTATTTTCTTTGTCTGCAAGCATTGAAGTCTCTGCTGAAGTGCATAGCCAAGGACTGGGCTACAGTGAAGACGAAAACCGAACGAGAAACAATGGTGAACATCGCGAGGGTCACGAGAATGATCATGATAGGATGTTCAATGATGTGCCAACTAGTGGTCGCCTGTTACGTGATTTTACGATTAATTTTTATGGAATACGACGATAACAAAATGTTCGTACGCGGCTATTACCCGTACGATATAACCGTAAGCCCAAATTATGAACTGACTATGATTGGTCAAGCTATAGCTGGTGCATACAGCGCCAGCATATACTCATCTGTGGACAGTTTTGTCGCTATGCTGATTCTACATGCATGTGGACAGATCTCGAATCTGAAGAATGATTTAAGAGAGATCCATTCGAACGATAAGATCGATTTACAGACGAAGTTGAAGAAAATCGTTGAAAAGCATAATTATATCAATAGGTTCGTATTGAAAGAAAATTATTAATAATTGCGAGGAGAATATATTTAAGAAGAGCCGAAAGCTTTTGCCAAAGATCGTGAAAAAGACACAAAATGCTAATTATAATAAGTTTAATCGTAAAGAAGCTAAAAAATAATTTGCGAAATTTAAATGTTTTTATGTTCGTACGTTGCTTACTTCATTTCATTTTAATTACAATGGAGAAAATAAAAGATGAATAATTATTTTACGCCTACTATTTCAAATATATTCTTCATTTGAAATTTAGTAATTATTATGCAACAATATCAGCTTATGCACTTGTGCATTTAAAGGTTAATTTCATCTTTAATTGTGGAAGGCCCATGTGTAAATTCTAATATTTATTAATTACGTTATAAGGTTTGCTGAAACGGTGGAGAATTGTTTCAACATAATGCTCTTGATTCAAATGCTCGGTTGCACCGTTCAACTATGCTTCCAGGCTTTCCAAACAATTATGGTACGAAAGAATTCATATTTTTCTCTAAATTTACGTTTACACGAAAGAAGAATGTTACAAAATAATTCATCTCCTTCGGCATAATTTAATTTGTAGTCAGATGGAGGAAAGAACGAGCAATACATGATTTTCCAAATTACATTCATGTGTTGCTACGTAGTTTGCGTGATGATGCAAATGCTCCTATACTGTTACGTGGGCGAAAGACTTACGTTCGAGGTATCGAAAGAGAAATTAATCAGTCGATGCTTTTTGTATAGAAATTTGGACCTCAGTACGAATATTGGATCTCGATACTAATTATTTATTAACAATTCAGAACATATATTAAAGTTTAGAATTTTTCAGAGCACGGATATTGCAGAAACAGCATATCATTGCGAATGGTACAATTTATCCCCTGAGATCGCAAGATTACTTATTATTATTATTTGTCAAGCTAGAGCATCACCGTTAAAGATCACAGCAGGGAAATTTTGTTCGTTCACTATATTGTTATATTCCCAAGTAAGTGAAAACGAATTTCAATGCAATGTATGGACATAATTTTCAATAGAATCTTCCTTTTAACCATACGAAGAATAATCCTCGCGATCCGAAAAGTTCGATTCTAAATACCAATGAATTTCATTTGAATGGCGAATGGTTTTAATTAAATTAATACACTACAAATTTTTACACAATAACTGTGATGGCACGAACAATTCAATTTCCTTCAAATATTTTATAGTATAGCGTGGAGTAGCTCACGAAAGTATGCGAACATTTATCAAAGAGGAATACACATATTGTTATTCTGTATCATATAAAACATTTAGAAATTTTATAATGTTGCGGGGAAAAACAAATTTCATGATTGTGCTGAAACCAGGATGAAAATGTATAGATGAATTAACGCATTTGGTGTTTAAGCGTTACTTAATATACGCATTTAGTAAGAATTGAAGATAGACTTAATTGTTGAAATATTTTTAAGATCTCTATGAAATATGCATTCATATTAAATATCTAGTAATTTTTATACTTATATTATATATATTTATATTTATATTATATTTAATTTTATTTTAATTTTAATATATATTTATATTTATATTGCACTTAATATATATTTATATTTATATTACATTTAATTTAATTTTAATTTATTATTTAATTCTTATATTTATATTATATATATTTATATGTATTATATATATAATTTTAGTAATTTTTATTTTTATATTATTATATTTGTTTCATCCTCGATCAATATATTACATAATCATGATCATAATCGTATCAGAGAATTAATGAAATTTTAAAAATGTTTTATATAATACACGTATTATATTCATAAACATCTCCTGGAAATGTTCCAATAATTTCAAATATTTTCTTATATTTCAGGTCGTGAAGACCTCAGTATCGTATGTTTCTGTTCTGTACGCAATAAAAAGTTAAAATAAGAAGACGATCTTATAATTACGATCGTCAATATTTTACAACAGCTCATCGCTTGGATAAAACAATTATGATTGGAGAAACACTTTAATGTCCATCTTTAAATGGTAAATTATACTTCGTAGAAATAAAGAAATAAAGTGTCGTGAAGAATTTAAAATCGTGGAAAACAAACCTATCAAATGTATAATTTCTCTCGAAATCTTGAAAATATCTTCTTTTTCCTTTTGCATTTCAATATTCACTCGTTTCTGTCGAAACTTTAAGTTCATTTATTGTCGAATGTTTACGAACAATTTGTAGACACGCCATCGATGAGTAGTCTGATTTACATTAGCGATTATTGTCATGTTAAGTCATTAGTCAATATTGTTCATACGTGATCCAATTAAACACTAATTTACATTAAGTTTTATTGAAAGAATTAAAGAGATTTGACTGTGCGCACATTGAAAAAATATTAGACAAAGCAAACAAGAAATTAAAAACAGGTTAAGAAAATTTATACATATTTGTACGAAATCGTCTCTGAAATTTTGTGGAAATAAAGAATGTCAAGAAAATATATAATACCAATAGTATAAAAATAACTAAGGAAATGTACGAATATACGAACTGAGTAAATGACGCAATAAATGAAATTGAAGTATGAAATTTACATTTTGTAGAAATTCCACTACTCCTAATGATATCTTTCTTTTATTAACTAATTCATCATTTTCATCATCGTCGCTGATAAGAAAAAAGATATAATATTAGAACAATTTTATAAATGTAGGTTATATAAAATTTTAGAATAATAAAAAGTCAATGATGTTGATGTTAGTAATAGATCATCAAGCTTTCTATATATATATATATATATACAATAATACAGAAGTATAACAATATGTGATACTTGGGAACGAAGATTAATCGTAATACTATAATACTACTATCGTTATTAAATCATCAGCTGTTCAACACTTGGGAACGTATAAGTAGAATTTAATGTATTGTTAATAAAAGCCGAAAATTCTTTTATTAACATCTCGAAAATTAATAAAGACTCGAAACTAAAGTTTTATATTTGGAATCTTCCCTTCCTCTCCTCTGAACTGACGCTTTTTGAAATTACAGTCCTAATTTGTTTGGTCATTTCTTTAATCTGATCATGATGAGATCATGGGCGTCTTCTATAGATTCAACAGATTTCTTTTTTATCACATTCGCAAACTGAAGTGTAAAATATTATGCTTGCAGAGACAGTGTTAATCTAAATTTAAGCTCACGTCAAAGTAAAATTTTAAAATTTCTTTCATGTTTTTCCATTTCGAAAACTAAAGCCTAGTGGAGTTTGCATAAGAAGAAGTTACTCAAAGTCAAGTGCTTAACAATATATTCAAAAATCATTGAAATCAATGAAGCGTGCCTTGATCAACCAACAATAATGTAAAATAATGAATCGTTTTTACTTACTAGTTATTTCAAACAACATCTAAGTAAATAAGATTACATATATTTAAGAGGAAGCGTCTCGATTGTTCGTAGATGACGATCAAGTAACATTCTGTCAAGAACTTTGGTCAATTTTGCCCGGATATCAGAGACCTAAATTTTCCAGTTCTGAAACAAACATGTGTAGTGCCGGTTCGACAAATATTTTTGGGCTACAGCGCACAATAAAGAAATTTAAAGAACACAAATTTCTAAAACTACTTAATTGCAAGATATGATAGGGAAAATCAAAAATATCAATATTACTATACATTTAAAAGTTTTACCAAAATAGAAAGATTTGACATTTTTGATTACGATTGATCAAACAGCATAACGATCATCTAATTTATGAACTAAAGTTTATAAATTACATGCGTTAAATTTCATAAAATTTACACAAACTTCAACACTAACATTCACTTTTAATTATGAATTATTTTCTCTATGAAATGAGACTCTCTTTACGAAGTTATTTCTGCATATGTTCACGAAAAGAAAGAACTATAGACTGAAAAAATACGCAACGCATCCCTTATTTCCTCCCCTTCTTTTCACGTACCATTTGGTCGAGGTCATAAATAATTACAAAGGTATAATTACAAACTTCTTGCAAAGAAATATCTTGCATTCAACCGAAACCTATAATTAAGTACGAACTACTCTACCACGAATAATTCATGACGTTCGCGCTCTCTGGATGTACGATGTGGGCGTGCGCTGAGAAGAACAGCCAAAGTTGCTTCTTCTTAATATGAGAACAGCCACGGGTCATCATGGACATTCAACGAGGTAAGTTCTTGCATTAAGTATTACTCATAAACAAAAAGCACTGTCTCCAGAGACATTTGTTTCATAATAAGAAATGTTAAATGTAAATAAATAAGTGAAGAAGAATAAGTGAATTGAAACAAAATAGTGAAAAAGGAAATAAAATTAGATTTTAAACAATTATTATATATATTCAAGGAATAAATAAATTATCACGTAGTCCTATAAATTAATACTTTGGTGGTTAAATTTTTATACTAGAAAATTAATTGCGGAAGATCGATTAGTTTAAATTAGATTGATAAATTCTCTAATACACATACAATTCTTTGCCTTCTGGTATTAAATTTCTTATTATAATTTTGCAAAATTGTCACAATAACAGTTTTTATTTTACATTTAACGCTTCAAATAGAACTTTCAACATAGTCGTATTCTGTATAAGATAATCAGTTATTTTTTGAAGTATAAAATTACATTCAGTCCCCAAGTAGTGTTACAGAATCGAAAGTGACAGTAATTTTCATTTTATAAATACGTAAAGATATTTAACTTTATTTTGAATTTTTCATTTTCACCGATACAGATTTGTAATAAAACTTCAAGTAATAATTCTAAAATTTAGCAACCTAAGCTTCTATTATTCTCGATATCTAACGGAATTGAACAATGATTCAAGAAATACAGATTTAAAATAAGAAATCCAAATTACATTTTTTTAACAATAATATAAGTACACGAAAAATCAAATAACGTGTACCTCACGATGCAGAATTACTTTCAAACGATTATCAATAATACACCTGAAGTAAAATGAGCGATTTAAAAATGGTAAGTAATACCAATACGTTTCATGTAAAATGAAATCATATTATTTCATAGTATTAGAGATAAGAAAGGAAATATCGTGCATTCAATTACTACAGTCTATAACGATTTTTAAACATTTTATGTCTATTAGATTTGAATTTCCAGTACGGATGGAACCGTACTATAATGAAGTACGCAGGTATCTGGCCGGAGGAGAGGAAATGGAACCGATCTTCGAGTTACATCATTCTGTTACCGATTCTCTCGATGCTGTGTTTCGTGTGTGGTCCACAAACCATTAATCTGCCGCGCATCAGACATGACTTAAATCTGGTGGTCGAGAATTTATCAACGGCTAACGTCACTATAACGTTGTCGCTAATAAAGACTGTGGCCTTTTGGAAGAATGGCAAATGTAAGGATCTTATCATATCATCATATAATATCATATATATCCAATCCATACACATTATTATATATCCAATTTTATCTAAAGATAGAATTTATCAAGAGAGTCTAACAGAGATCATTGAACTTTGCATTGAAATTTTATATATTTACATTTTTCAAACATAATTTAATGTCACAAGAAATGTACCTCGTACGTGATTTCCAGCTTACTGAAATCCCAACTTTTAGATGAACATGGTATTATTTTTTAGTAAGGAACGTAATTGGCAAACAAAAAATATATTTGTACAAATAGCAGGAAAAATTTTATGATTACATGAAACAAACGCTCAAGATATATTCTATCCACCATTTCTATTCGTTTGCAAGCACTGAAGTTTCTGCTGAAGTGCATAGCCAACGACTGGACTACAGTGGACACGAAAACAGGACGCGAAACAATGGTGAACTACGCGAGACTCACAAGAATAACAACGATAATATCTACAATGATGTGTCACCTAGTAGTCGCCTCTTTCGTGGTTCTACGATTATTTTTGATGAAGTACGATGATAACAAACTGTTTGTACGTGGCTATTACCCGTACGATACAACCATAAGCCCAAATTATGAATTGACTATGATGGGTCAAGTTATAGCTGCCACATACAGCACCATCATATACCCATCTGTGGATACATTTATCGTCATGCTGGTTTTACATGCCTGTGGACAGATATCAAATCTGAAGGACGAGTTAAAGGAGATCCATTCATATAAAAAGACTGATTTACAGATGAAGTTGAAGAAAATCGTTCGAAAGCACAATTACATCGCTAGGTTTGTATTGAAAGAAAAACTTCATAGTAACAGAGAGAATTTTTTTAAGAAAACCAGAAAGCTTGCGCCGAAAATGATAGATTATAATAAGTCCAATTTTAAAAGATCTGAAACATAATTTGCAAAATTTAAATCTTTTTGTTTTAATATGATCTATTCACTTGAAATATTAAATGTAATACAAAAATGGATAATGAATAATTACTTTACCACTTTGCCACTATTTTATTTGAAATTTAGTAATTATTATGCAAAATTGTTACCATCAAATCATTATTATCCATTTCATCTTTAACTGAGAAAGAGTCATAAATAAATTCTAATATTTGTTAATTACGTTATAAGGTTCGCTGAAACAATAGAGAATAATTTCAATATAATGCTCCTGCTTCAAATCCTTGGTTGCACCGTTCAAATATGCTTCCAGGCTTTCCAGGCTATCATGGTATGAAAAAAATCATACAATTTATAATATTTACGCTTATGAAAATGAAGAACATTACGAAACGATTAATCTCTTTCAATATAATTTAATTTACAGTCAGGAGAAAACACTGAAAGTAACAATGGACAACCTATAATTTTTCAACTTATATTCCTGATTTACTATGTAATTTGCGCGATGGTGCAATTATTCCTGTACTGTTATGCGGGTGAAAAACTTGTGTTTGAGGTACGTTTTATGAAAGAGACATTATTCAGTTGAAGATGTTCTGGATGATTTTTCTGATGAAAATTTCGATTCTACTATCGATAATGGATATGATTAATAATTTAAATATACATTAAAGTCTGTAATTTTTCAGAGTACAGACGTAGCTGAAGCTGCATATCAATGCGAATGGTACAATCTACCACCTGAGATCGCAAGATTGCTTACTATTATTATATGTCGAGCAAGAGCATCACCGTTGAATCTTACAGCAGGCAAATTTTTTGTGTTCACTATACTATTATACTCCCAAGTATGTAAAAACGAATTTTAATACAATATATGTATAGAATCTTCAATAGAATCTTCCTTCTAAACCCTTCTAAGATTTACCCTCGAGATCCTAGGGATTCCGACTTAACAATCTCTATGAAATATACATTCGTATTAAATATCTAGATTTTTTTATATTTGTTTCATGCCGAATTAATGTAATTTGTGATACTTTATCTCATTAGACAATTAATGAAATTTCAAAGTTTTCCATACAATACACGTAATTTATTCATAAAAATCTCCTCCATAAATCGAGTAGCTTCAAACGAAATTTTTTCGTACATTTCAGGTCGTGAAAACCGCAGTCTCGTATATTTCTGTTCTGCATGCAGTAAGAAGTTAACTGTATGCAGTTAAAGGAAACGCAACCTTACGATTTTTCAATTCTGTGCTCGTAGCGTTGATAGAACAAATACCATAGTAGAAACATTTTAGCACCTATCTCTAAATAGTAAACTATACTATGCAGAAATAAAAAAATGAAGTATCGTAAACAATTAAAAATGTAACAAATCTATTAAATGTTAACAGGATTTCTCGTGAAATCTCGAAAATACCTTTCTTTTCATTTGGTTCTTGATATTTTCTTGTTTCATCGGGACTTTAACTTTGTTTGCTGTTTAGGGGAAATTTGCAGAAGAAGAAAGTCCGGCACATCTATTTATTATTAACACGTCAAAAATATTAATATCACTGTATATAATCACACATTTAAAAACTATTCAAAACTATTCCATTTGAAAACTATTCAAAAAAAGAATATCAAATTTTTAATTTCACTATTTCACAATATTTTCTATACATCATACTCTATGTATCATAACTCTAATTGAAACAGTATTAATATCACTCAGTTTATGAACTAAATCTTATAAGCTAAACGTACGTTAAATTTCACAAAATTTTTAAATATTGTATTTATCACTTAAAGAAATTCGTTTAACGTCGACATAAATATTCGGTGATGATTATACGTCTAACTGATGAAGTGAATTACTTTTTCCATAAAATGAAACTTCTTTTGCTGGCAAATGTTGATTCACATTCGTGACAGAGAAGTAAGGTGGACTAACAATGTTGAAAGGACGTAAGTATTCTCCCTTGGTTCTCCCTTAATGCTTACTGAACGAGATCATAAATAATAACAGAAGGGCATATGTAACAACCGAACTTAATTATTTACCATCCAACCAAGCGTAAACTGAGGACGATACCGCTACCCTATTCACGAATAATTGATGTCGTATCTACATACGTTTTCCATGGACACGCAGATAAGGACATGCGCCAAGAGAAAAGTTGCTTGAATAGATAACGGAGATTATGAGAACAGTCACGGAGAAACTGGTTACCATGGACGTTCAGCGAGGTTACGTATCAATTAATAAATATTTAGACAAAAACTGGCAGTATTTGCAAAAACTTGTTCCGCAATTGTTAAAAATAAATGAACTAATAAATGTATTTCCGTGAAGTAGGCATAAAGTGCAATATTTCATTGGAATCATATTTTTAAATACAGCGTATATATGTATGAAAGACTAACATATAATTTATATCATTTATATCTTTATAACTTATTTAAATACAGCGTATATGTGTATGAAAGACTAACATATAATTTACATCTTTTATACCTTAATTATAATAACATATAATTTATATCTTAATTATAACTAACATATATCTTTTATATCTTAATAATTTATGTCTTTTATTGGCTCATTCTAAAAATATGAAATCGTTCATAATTTTTTTAATTCATTCCTGAAATAGATTTGAATTACCTGTTCGCTTCGAACCCTTACTTCATGAAAACTGTGGGTATCTGGCCGGAAGAGAGGAAATGGAACCGACCTTCGAGTTACGTCTTTTTCATACCGTTCATCACAATGCTGTGTTTTCTGTGGGTCCCACAAACTATTAATCTGCCGCTCATCGCTCATGACCTGAATTTGGTGGCCGAGAATTTATCAATGGGTAACATGACTGTCACGGTTGCACTCGCGAAGGCTATAGTATTTTGGAAGCATGGCAATTGTAAGAATGTCATGTTTTAACAAACCATATTCAATTTTTGTTGAAGATGAAATTTCCAATAATTTGTATTTCACTGACAACGAAAACACAGAAATTAATACTGTTTGTACTGTATATTAATAATATCTGTATTCGCTATTCACGTGAATGAAATTTTCAATATTTCACTTTTTTTTTTTTCTTTTTTTTAATGAAAAAGCAGAAACGCAGAATTCAGAACATTGGAGTCCCATAAATTCACCAAATGATAGCATCCCGAAGAACATATGTGACTTACAGGTTAATGAAACCTCTTTGTGAGCAGTGTAACATTTTTTGGTAAACAGCATAATTAACAAATTCGAAGTAATGTAACGAACAGCAGAAAGAATTTTATTACTACACGATACAAGATTTTAAGACGTACTCTAAACGCCATTTTCTTCTCTTCCAAGCATTGAAGTCTCTGCTGAGGTGCATAACCAAGGATTGGGCTGCAGTGGAGACGGAAACCGGACGAGAAAGAATGGTCAACATCGCGAAGATCACTAGGAAGATCACGATAGGCTCCTCAATACTTTGCCATACCGTAATCAGCACTTATGTGGTACTACGACCATTTTCCTTGAAATACACCGAAAATAAATTGTTCTTCCGCGGTTATTTCCCCTACGACGTAAACATCAGCCCAAACTACGAATTGACGATGATTGGTCAAGCGGTAGCTGTGACATTTTCAACTGTATTCTATTCAACTGTGGATACGTTTATCGCTATGCTGATTCTACATGCTTGCGGACAGCTCTCAAATCTAAAGGAAGATTTAATGAAGATTCATTTGCACGATAAAAATAATTTACATATGAAGTTGAAGGAGATTGTTCAAAAGCACGAATATGTCAGTAGGTTAGTATTAAACGGAAATTATTAACGTTATGATTCTCTTAATAGCAGATTAGTGGTAATTATATTAATATATTAATTCGTATTAGGAGGAAGTTATTAACATCTACAATAATGACATATGTTATATTTAGAAGCTAAAATGTTTCGTGTCTTGTATTATCCTCTAAATATTTAATTTCATAGTATACTACATATCCTAGTGTATCCTTCCCAAATTATATTATCTGAACAAAGAATGAAATACGTATTCCCACATTTGAAACTCATTGTTCTTTATTTGAAATTCAGTATCTAATCATTAAATAAATTATTATTAAAATTACTATTATTTAAAATTTGTTAATTTATGTATTTAGACTTAATTAATTAATTTGACCTTTTAATTGGTAAAGATTAACAAATAAATTATTTTTATGGTTTGTTAATCGTCAAGGTTTACGGGGACTATAGAAAATTGTTTCAACGTGATTTTTCTGATTCAAATGCTCGGTTTCATGATTCAAATGAGCTTCCAATCTTTCCAAACTATCATGGTACGATATAAATTTTTCTTTTTCCACTAAATGTACGTTTATACAACAAAATGAAACGTTCCAAAATAATTCATCCTTTCTGACGTAATTTTATTTATAGTCATTTGAAAATGTACAAGAGCAACGCATTGCTTTTCAAACTGAAGTCTTATGTATGTATGTAGCTATCGTGATGATACAGTTGTTCCTATACTGTTACGTGGGCGAAAGACTTATGTTCGAGGTATTGTTTGTGAAAGAAAAATTAATTTTAGTAGCTGTTTTTCTGATAATTCGGTTATTAGTTTCAAACATAATTAAAGTCTGCGATTTTTCAGAGTATAGGTATTGCTGACTCAGCGTACAATTGTGAGTGGTACAGTTTACCTCCTAAGAACGCGAGATTACTTGTAATTATCATGTGCCGTGCTGTCTCATCACCGCTGAAACTTACAGCAGGCAAATTTTGTTGGTTTACTATATTGCTATATTCTCAGGTAAGTGAAAATGAATTTTGAAGAAAATGTTTCTTTCAATATTTGCTTATATATTGCAATGTAATTATGAGATAATTTGCAATATTAGAAATATGTTAATATTTGAATAGAAATGGATATTGAAACATCTGGAGTATAAAATATTCGAAAATACTCGCATGAAGACCACACTAAAATCTTTATCTATTTGTTGCGTGCATTATGTAAGACATCACGTAAATTCATTAATACTATAATAAAAAGCGTGTGTCATGATTATGTTGGTCATATTTCGATTCAAATGGCTAAGTCAGCATTTCTGTAATCCTTTATTTCTGCGAAATGTGACTTGAATTAAATATTTAGTAGTTTTCATATATATGTTTGTATTTATTTCATGCTTAAAAACCATATAATCGTGACAGACGATTCTCATTATAAAATTACGAAATATTTTATGGCATATATAAAATATACTCAGAAAAACGGGTTTATATACATATAATATAACTGTAAAATAAGAAACTGTATAGAATAAATTTTCTGTTTGTATGTTTTAGGTTATAAAAACTTCAGTCTCGTATATTTCAGTATTGTACGCAACGAGAGGTTAGTGGAGAGGCAATTCTATAGTTCCTTAAATTTTACAACTATTCATTGCTTCAAATACTACGCATAGGAGGGAATACTGCGAAAGGAATAAATTAGTATTTGTTTCTCTATAATAAATTATGCTTCTGAAGAAACAAAGGAAAAGACGAGGCGAAGAATCGAATGTTGTAGAGAGTAATAAATCTATTAAAACGAGATTCATGTACAGAATATTTCCTGCGAACCCTCAATAATATTATTTCTACCTTCCTTGCTTCTCAACATCTTACAGTTTTTTTCGGGACTTCAAGTTTATTCGTATTTGCCTACTTATTCCGCGTCCATACCGACGTTATTCGCCAATAATAATATGGACACTTTAATGAACTACGATCAGGTTACAGCGAGCTCGCTCGCAATAGCGAACAATGTTCAAGTGATCGAGCCAATCAAAGAGTATGTTCACGAACTCGAAGAATTCGTGAACTTGTACTGAGGACCTTACTTTGTTATGGCAGAACCACACTGCTGTTGGATGCGACTCATAATTGGATGCGACCAGTTTTTGATAGCCAGCAGTTTGCAAACTGCTTATGAACAATTCTGCCCAGTGTTAACTCAACATTACGAACGATTGATGAGTATTTAAGTGTGATTCATACTAGCGGTAGCAGTACCATCGGATAATGTCAAGTCAAGCTATGATTACAGAACAATCGGCTCACACGTGACCCAATGAAGGTATTTACAAAACTTGTTTAAGTCGAGGATATGAAAATCTGTTGACTGTAGACTCACTTTTATGCCTGATTCACTCTGACAATCAAAGGTTGTACCTTTTATTTAAAAAATTTATGTATGACGTACGAAATCATTTGTAAAACTGCACAA